GCCGCGATTGGCCCTCAAGACAGGCCACGGGCCCAGAAGCAGGGGGCAATCCCGCCTCCACGCCGCCTTCGGAGGCCGGTTACCTTCCGGGGCGGGCTGCTTCCGCATGTGGAGCCCTGCTGCGGAAAGAGAAGGAGAGAGATACAGATGGCTCCCCAGGGCAGAACTTACCAAGCATCTCATGTTGGGTTGCCGTAAGTTTTCCGGGCTGTATGGCCATGTTCCAGAATCATTCTCTCCTGACGTTTCGCCCATATCTGTGGCAGGCATCCTCAGAGGTTGCATCTGGAATGTGGCCATACAGCCCGGAAAACTCAAAGCAACTCATTGATTCCGGCCATTAACGCCTTCGACAACACATTTCACGTTGGTGACGCTTGTTCATTCGTTCAGTCATTTCCAACTCTTCGTGACCCCATGGACCAGCCCACACCAGAGCTTCCTGTCGGCCGTCACCTCCCCCAGCTCCTTCAGAGTCAAGCCAGTCGCTTCAAGGATGCCATCCATCCACCTTGCCCTTGGTCGGCCCCTCTTCCTTTTTCCTTCCTTTCCCTCCAGCATCGTTGTCTTCTCTAAGCTTTCCTGTCTTCTCATTATGTGGCCAAAATACTTCATCTTGGCCTCTACTATCCTTCCCTCCAGTGAGCAGCCGGGCTTTATTTCCTGGAGGATGGGCTGGTTGGATCTTCTCGCAGTCCAAGGCACTCCCAGAACTTTCCTCCAGCACCACAGCTCAAAAGCATCTGTCTTCCTTCGCTCAGCCTTCCCTTTGGTCCAGCTCTCATTTGTTAGATATATATTATTTTGCAACACAGTAATTCAGTTGTACTAACCAAGCAGAGGTTAAGGCAACCCTTTATAAGAGAGATGAATGCATGTATAAATTGTAGCAAAGAAGGAATAGAGACACAACATACCTAATGAAAACCTTTCATTTACATTTTTACAAATGACACAATAACAGCTGACACAATAATGTGTCCTGACACACAATTTGGAAAGCTTTCCTGGGAAATGAATGCAATGCTCAGGGGCCCATCCCAAAAGTGTGGATGCAAGGTCCAAATGGAGCTCAAATCCACAAGATTACAAAAAATAAAGATAATAGCAAAAATTTGACCTTAAAGGTGTAGCTTTTCCTTCTTTTTAGAAAAAAAAATGGTTGTGATACAATATGAACAGATTAGATGGGTTTCAATGTCAGATATTTGTGACCTGCTTGGCTCCTGAAGCAAAAGAGTCGGAAGAAGATTTGGAAACAGCTGGACAGATCTGCCCCCCTTCAAGCCACCTTGTTTGAAGGATCATGCCTCAAGTGTCCTGTGCAAAACTGGCCATCTTGCTGTGGGAACTTGATCCCCTTGGTCAGTCAGAGGCAATGTTCTGCCTGCATACATGCATACGTAAGATTCTGAATGGACATCTGTCAGGAGTTCTTTAATGATTTTTCCTGCATGGCAGGGGATTGGGCTGGGTGGCCCTTGTAGTCTCTTCCAACTCTTCAAACAGCTAAACAGTGTTGGAATTTAACACGCAATTGAAGACCCATCTCTTCCTAACCAGTTAACTTTCAACCATGAATTTTGATCTGCATTCTGTTACCACTATATGGCAATTCTGTAGCTGTGTTTGGTATAAGTTTTCATGTGTGTGTGTTTATATATGTAATTTATTTTATGTTTATTTGTTTTTCAATTTATTGTACCCTGCCTTGAGCCATCAGGAGAGGCAGATAATTAATAAAATGTATTATTATTGTTATTATTTTTCTAGTTTATCCTGTAGAGAAGTCATGTAGGAGTATGTATTTGGGGAATACGTTGTTCATTCATTCAGTCGCTTCCAACTCTTCATGACCTCATGGATCAGCCCACACCAGAGCTCCTTGTTGGCCGTCACCACCCCCAGCTCCTTTAAGGTCAAGCTAGTCACTTCAAGGATATCATCCATCCATCTTGCCCTTGGTCGGCCCCTCTTCCTTATTCCTTCCATTTTCCCCAGCATCATTCTCATAGGCTGTTAGAAATTGTGGGAGTTGAAATCCAAGATACTCTCCCTTGATTTTAAAGCAGGCATGGCAAACTTTGGCCGGTAGGCTGTTAGGAATTGAGGGAGTTGGAGTCCAAAACACCCAGAGGGCCAAAGTTTGCCTATGCCTGTGTTAAAGCAATACAAGCTATCTTTCAACTGCAAATATGTTGCTTCCCTTCTGTGGAGAACGGGTTTGAGGGTGCTGTCTTTTTCACTATTCTAGTTGTTGTTGTTAGGCAATCCCTCGTAGCTTGAGGATGATGGTATTCCAGATGTGGTGTCTTGGCAGTGGGTCCGTAGGTGGCTGTGGAACATATTCTTGATCCACATGTTCTCCTGCAGTGAGGACATCGATTTCCAGATGGTAGGCGGTCCCAGTCAGGGTTGGCTTGGCACACCTTCCACTTGGCACGTTTCTCCCTTTCATCCTCCATTCGTGCTTCTTTGAATTCTGCAACACTGCTGGTCACAGCTGACATCCAGTTAGTATTCTAGTAACATTAATATGAACAGTACAGCGCATCAGGTCCTGTAGAAATGATAGATAAATGCCATGTATTAGAACACACTCCCCAGGGAAATGTGATTTACTCCATCTCCCCTTTCCTTCAGGAAAAGCTCAAAACATGGTTTTGGGACCAGGCATTTGGGCAGCTGGCTTAACAGCACTTGCAATGTTGTATTTGAATTGATAATGCACAGGCTTTGGACTGGGTCTCTCAATTGAACCCAAGTTGTTATTGTAATAATGTTTTAAATGTGTATTTTATAATTTAATGTTTTAATTAATGTTAACACATTGAATCTGTGTTATATTGTTATGGTGTATATGTTGGCATCTAATTGCTGCCAATTGTAAGCCGCCCTGAGTCCCCTCTTGGGGGTTGAGAAGGACGGGGTACAAATGTTTGAAATAAATAATAAATATATGTATATAATAAAATTCAGTGTCTGTATGTGTGTGGTGGGTGGTGTATTTGGCAGCTTTCTGATTGGCTGCCACTTCCACAGGCTGCTGCAACCTCCACAAATAACTGACCTGGACCAAACTTGGCATACATAATCCCCATGACCCCCTGGTGTGGTTTGGGGGAGGATGGACCACGGATTATGGGATTTGCAGTACTTTCAATTTGTTTTGGCTCCCACAGACCACTGTGATGCCCACCAATGATGGAACTGGACTGAACTTGGCACACAGAACCCCCATGACCCACTTTACATCCTGGTGTGGTTTGGGAGAGGATGGGCCATGGATGATGGGATTTGCAGTACCTTCACTTACTTCCAGAGATCACTACAACCCCCATGAATGATGAGCCTGGATTAAACTTAGCACACAGACCCAATGTGGCCCACTTAATGTCCTGGTGCAGTTTGGTGGGAATCCCAACCACGGATTATGGGATTTGCAGTATATGCATCCAATATACCTCCCCCACACTATTGTGATGCCCACAAATGACTGGGTTAAACTTGGCACACAGAACCTTTCATGATCCACATCCTGGTGTGGTTTGGAGGAGGCAGGACCATGGATGATGGGACTTACAGTACCTTCACTCACTTTCAGAGACCACTGTGACCCACACCAGTGACAGATCAAGACCAAACATGGCACACATAGTCCCCATGATGCACTCTACATCCTGGTACCGTCTGTGGGATGATGGACCATGGATGATGGGACTTACATATGGGAGTAGTAGTTTAACCGCACCCACTGAACCCAGTCGACATTAGATCTAGACTAAACTTGGACTACAGACGGAGCCCCCATGACCCACTCTACATCCCGGTGCAGTTTGGAGGAGGATAGACCATGGATGATGGGACTTGCAGTACCTTCACTCTCTTCCTGAGACCACAGCAACACTCTTCCAATTACCAATAAAGACCAAACTTGGCACAGAGAACCCCCATGGCCAACTCAATATTCTGGTGCGGTTTCGAGGAGGACGGACCATTTAGACTACTGCAACGCTCTCTACGTGGGGTTGCCTTTGAAGACGGCTCGGAAGCTCCAAGTAGTCCAATGCTCGGCAGCCATGATTTTAACAGGAGCAGAGCACAGGGAGCATACAACCCCCCTGCTGCGCCAACTCCACTGGCTACCGATCTGCTACCGGGCTCAGTTCAAAGTGCTGCCGTTGGCCTTTAAAGCCCTAAGCGGTTCCGGCCCTAGCTACCTATCCGACCGCATCTCGGCCTATGAACCCACCAGGACTTTGAGGCCCTGCTCTCGATCCCGCCTGCTTCTCAAGCACGGCTGGCGGGGACGAGAGATAGGGCCTTCTCGGTGGTGGCTCCTCGGCTGTGGAACGCCCTTCCTACGGACATTAGACTAGCACCATCTCTAATGGTATTCCGCAAAAAAGTGAAGACCTGGCTGTTTGAGCAGGTGTTCAAATAATTAGTGCAATGATTGGTTAATGAACACTGGAATAGAACAATGTATGATGAATCTGGAACATGTTTTTGATGATGAGACGACAGTGAATGGGTATTGTAGTGACTGTTATTAATTGTGTAATGTGTTAGGTTGTTAACTGTTTCTATACTGTAGCACTGAATTTTTGCTGTTCGTATTTGTTGTGAACCGCTGTGAGTCGCCTTCGGGCTGAGACCAGCGGTATATAAGTAAGGTAAATAAATACATAAATAAGCTAGTAATAAATAAATAAATAGATTTCAAAGGAGCTGGCGTGGCTGAGTGCCTTCTGCACTGGACTATGACCCTGGAGCTCAGGGCGAAGAACACGGCGCTCTCTGCGCCTTCCCTCTCTAAGCGTCTCCCCACCTTGCGCCAAGCGTCTCCTCGCAGTGCGCAAGCGCGGAGTCCTTGGGTGCCGGGACTACGCTTCCCGGCATGCCGCGCGGGCGCCCCTGCTGCTGCTGCTGCTGCTGCTGCTCCTCCTCCTCCTCCCCCGCCGCCGCCGCCTCCTCCATTCCGGCGCTGGCCGAGGAAGGTGGGCCGGACCCCGGGCGGGGGCTGGGCTGGGGCTGGGGCGGGCATGGGGGGCTGCCTCTCCTCGCAGGCGGCGGATGACCTGTCGCTGCTCAACGACTCCACGGGCGACGGGGCCAGCCTGGGGCCCGGGGACCCTCCGCCGATGGCCCCGCCGCCCTTCCCTGCCCCGCCGCCCCCCTACCAGGTAGGCAGCAGCAGCAGCAGCAGGAAGAGGGTGCGGGAGGGAAGGAGGAGGGAGGGAGGGGCCCTGGGGTAGAGTGTCCCCCTTCCTCCCTTCCTTCCTCCCTCCCTCCCTCCCTTCCCTTGGGGGCCTGCAGTGGAGGCTGAGGAGCCCCGGGGGTCCCCTTGCGGCTGGAAGGAGGCGCACCTTGTGATGAGGATGAGGAGGATGATGCGCGTGCTGCCTGTCCTCCTGCCACCTCCCTCCCTCCCTGCCTGCCTGCCTCTTGGTGGGCTTTCAGGGGGGAACCTTGTTTCCTTCTCTGCAGAACAATAAAAGTGTGTTCAGGAAGAGCAAAAGGAGCAGCTGCATCATAAAGTGACACTACTCGCCCTTGGCTCTAATGACCAAGGGCCTGGAGAACAAGCCCTATGAGGAGCGGCTTAAAGAGCTGGGCATGTTTAGCCTCAAGAAGAGAAGGCTGAGAGGAGACATGATGAGGGCTATGTATCAATTTGTGAGAGGAAGTCATAGGGAGGAGGGAGCAAGCTTGTTTTCTGCTTCCCTGGAGACTAGGACAGGGAACAATGGCTTCAAACTACAAGAAAGGAGATTCCACCTGAAAATGAGGAAGAACTTCCTGACTGTGAGAGCTGTTCAGCAGTGGAACTCTCTGCCCCAGAGTGTTGTGGAGGCTCCTTCTTTGGAGGATTTTAAACAGAGGCTGGATGGCCATCAGTCAGGGGTGCTTTGAATGCAATTTTCCTTCTTCTTGGCAGAGGGTTGGACTGGATGGCCCATGAGGTCTCTTCCAACTCTATGATTCTAAAGCAGGTATGGGCAAACTTCGGTCTTCCGGGTGTTTTGGACTCCAACTCCCACCATTCCTAACAGCTGGTAGGCTGTTAGGAATGGTGGAAGTTAGAGTCCAAAACACCCGGAGGGCCGAAGTTTGCCCATGCCTGCATGTAATGCAAACACCACTATCTAAGTTCAAGGCTGTGGAACCACTGGAGTTATCATTGCACAAAGTCATTTTTCCTGCCAAAGGGTGAGCAAACTACAGATCCCATGATTCCATAGCCTTTAAACGCAGACAGTTAAAGTGGCATCAAACATTATCCCTTCTCCAATGTCAGCTGGATCCCACCTCATTCAAAAGTCTAGGAAACTGAAAGTTGGCACAGTGCTTTCTTAAGCAGGTGGCCATTTTACTACCAAACCGAAAATCATTGCACATATACATTATTTGCTCCTGAACAGATGTATTTATTGGTTTGTTGTTGTGGCAAGAAGGAAGATTGAGACAATGAGAACACACAGGGAGGTGCTTCCCAACCTTTTTTTTAAAACCAGGAACCACTTTGACCAGGGACCATTCTCCAACATTAGTACCAAAATGGTTATGAATCAGTTTTTGGCCAACTTTAGATTCGGTTTAGTTATTTGGGGTGCTGCATTGGATAGACCACATCAGCTCTAGTTTCTGATACAGAACACATGCTATCCAGTAGTTGCCATCTGCTTGCCCACAGAAAACCATATTTAATCATCTAGAGCTGATGTGGTCTATCCAATACAGTTTTACTGAATCAGCACCCCAAAAAACCCCAGGAACAGGCCTAAAAACGAAGACACCAAGGCGAACCTGGGGGCCCACAGGTTGCGAACCACTGATCTAAGCTCTGTGACTGCAGCATTTTTAATGAAACACCCAGAGTGTTTGAAGATTGGGACATTTGTAGAGGTACCAAGATACTTGCTCATAAAGCTACTAGCCCTCCCCTGCCATGCATTGCTGTGGCCCTGTCTGGAAAATGCAAATTGTTGGTTTCTAAGATACGTAATTTCTTTAGGCTTGTGGGTAAACATATTTCCTGTTGTTTCTTTGTCAGTTTTGACGTAGAGATTGTCTGGTTTGCCTACTCTGGAACATGCAACATATAATTGTCCTTCTTTGGGGGTCCCTTTCAAATCTGTGATACTATATCTGTCATCTGCATATGTGTGTGTGAATTATATCTATATCTATGGCTGGATGGCTCTTTGTCAGGAGGGCTTTGATTATGTTTTCTTGCCTTGGTGAAGGGAGTTGGACTGGATGGCCTTCAAGGCAACCTTTCTCAACCTGGGGCTTAGGACCCCTGCGGGGTATGTGTGTCTGAAATATCGCCAAAGACCACCTGGAAACACAGTATTTTCTGGGTTGTTGTAGGTTTTTCAGGCTATATGGCATGTTCTATAGCCCGAAAAACCTACAACCACCCAGTGATTCCAGCCATGAAAACACTCAACAATACACAGTATTTTGTGTTGGTCACGGAGGTTCTGCGTGGGAAGTTTGGCCCGGTTCTATCATTGGTGGGGTTCAGAATGCTCTTTGATTGTAGGTGAACTATAAATCCCAGCAACTACATTTCCCAAATATCAAGGTCTATTTCTCCCAAACTCCATCTGTGTTTATATTTGGACATGTGGAGTATTTGTGCCAAGTTTGGTCTAGAGCAGGGATCTTCAAACTTTTTAAACAGAGGGACAGGTCACAGTCGTTTAAACTGTTGGAGGGCCGGATTATAATTTGAAAAAAACATGAATGAATTCCTATGCACACTGCCCATGTCTTATTTGTAGTGCAAAAAAACAACAACACACACTTAAAAACAATACAACAATTAAAATGAAGAACAATGTTAACAAATATAAACTTACTAGTATTTCAATGGGAACTGTGGGCCTGCTTTTGGCTAATGAGACAGGATTGTTGTTGTTGTGTGCTGTCAAGTCGTTTCAGACTTAGGTTGACTCTCAGCGAGGGCCGGGTAAATGACCTTGGAGGGCCATATCCGGCCCTCGGGCCTTAGTTTGAGGACCTCTGGTCTAGAGCCTTCAGTGTTTCAGTCCACAGTGTTCTCTGGATGTAGGTGAACTGCAACTCCAAAATTCAAGGTCAATGCCCACCAAACCCTTCCAGTATCTTCTGTTGGTCATGGGAGTTCTGTGTGCCAAGTTTGGTTCAATTCCATCGCTGGTGTAATTCAGAATGCTCTTTGATTGTAGGTTAACTATAAATGCCAGCAACTACAGCTCCCAAATGACAAGATCAATTTTTTTAACTGATGGTCACTTCTTGAGTTCGTAGGTGTCTTGTGGCCAAATTTGGCAGCAATTTGTCCAGCGGTTTTTGAGTTTTGGTGTCACTCAAAACGAAAAAAGCATCTCTCTCTCTCCCTCTTTCTCTCGCTCTCTCTCTCTATATATACATACATATATATATGCTCTGTTCATTTTGAGTGACATCATATATAGATTGTGTTTTCATATATATATACGTATACATACATATAGATTGCCCTCCCAACTCAGTTATATGCTTGCAAACCATGGAATGTATACAAACGTAACTCTCAACTTCTGGAACGATTCCATCAGCATTGCCTCCAAAAAAATCCTGCAAATCTCTTGGAAAGAGAGGCAGACAAATGTCAGCATTCTGGAAGACACAAAGACCACCATATATATGTCCAAATGCCTAATCACTGTCTCCCAAAACAGTTACTCTATTCTCAACTCAAGAACAGAAAGTGGGGTGTTGGTGGACAGCTAACCTTAAAAACGATGGCATAGACACCGAGAACTGGGAAGTGTTCTCACTGGAAGCCAGATGTTACAACAGTGTTGTGGAATTTGAAGAAGCACAACTAGAGGGTGAAAAGGATAAATGTGTCAAGAGGAAGGTGTGAAAAGCCAACCCTTGTCGGGACCGCTTTCCATCTAGAAATTGATGTTCTCACGGCAAAATAATATGCACATCCAGAATAGATTTCTACAGTCACCTATGGACCCACTGCCAAGGCTCTACACTTGGAAGGCAATCATACTTGGCCACAAGTGATAGCCTATGATAAATCTATTAGTTTGGTTGGAAACACTGGGTGTGCAGAGCCCTATATCTAAATCCCTCATTAGCTGTGAATTGTTCTATCTGTGGTTCTAAGCAGGGAGCAAGGGGTTGTACGTGTCTACGTTGTTAGAGTCATGGTTGCCTGCAGTCAATCTGGGTTAAAGTGGGAAATGTCTCTCACCAGACAGCACTGAACAAGCTTCCGTCAGTTTGGCTTATATAACAGATTGATTATAAAAGCAAAGGGCAAGGTTGAAATATAATAAAATAGTTTCAAATGCAGAAACGGCCATAGCATTTCAAAGGTAACAGGTGCTCCTTTGGCTGCAGACAAAAAGTGAAAGGACAGTGTATTGTCGAAGAATTTCATGGCCAGACTCACTGGGTTGTTGTAGGTTTTTCAGGCTGTATGGCCATGTTCTGGCTACCAGTATTTTAAAAAACCTCTAAAATTATAACAGTAAATAAAGAACAAAACTCAAACACAGGGGAACTCCAGACAAGAAACAATCAGGAACACCTAATCACCTCTCAATAAAGGATTCCCTCAGGCAGTAACAAGCCACACCTAAAAACTGTCAGGCCATCAAATGCTAGTCAAGGTGGTCAGTTGAAACATTCACACCTAGCTCCAACAGACAAGAATTCTTTCTCCCACCCTGGACCTTCCACAGATATATAAACCCAATTTTCCTAGTTTCCTACAGACCTCGCAACCTCTGAGGATGCTTGCCATAGATGCAGGTGAAACGTCAGGAGAGAATGCTTCTAGAACATGGCCATACAGCCCGAAAAACCTACAACGGAGTGAAAGGAAATTTGGAAGAAATTTGGAAGAAAATGGGTGGGTCTAGTAGAGCTTCAAGACCTGCAGTTTGAAAAGTGGGCAGAAGGAAAGCCGTACAAACCCTTCTGGAAGAAGCTTGTGAAGGGAGCTTTATGCTTTGCTGGGGAGGTTGTATGCCCTGCCTCATGATTTTTAGATGGGGGTTAAGTCTTAGGCTCCACGTTCTCTCTTTGTATCTGATGTGCTTGTACCTTTCCTTGTGGATCCGAAGAATACACTGAGCCCAGCCTGTGGCATTCAAGGAAGTAGATACCCTAAATATTGTAGATCTTTTGGTCTCAAACAGTTGTCTTACGTCCCTCTGACCTGTGATTTTTGATTCCTGGGACTATTTCTGGAGCACTGTCATGTTTCTGTTCATGTTGCCTTACTTGAAAGGCAGCATTTTTCAAAGTGGAGACACCAATGTAAGAAATAAGATGAGGCTGGGAAGATTAAAGTAAAAGAGCTATGGGTCGCTGTGAATTTTCTGGGCATGTTCCAGAAGCATTCTCTCCTGATGTTTCACCTTCATCTATGGCAGAGATTATGAGGTCTGTTGGAAACTAGGCAAGTGAGATTTATATATCTGGAATGTCCAGGGTGGGAGAAAGAACTCTTGTCTGTTTGAGGCAGGTGTGAATGTTGCATTTGGACACCTTGATTAGCATTGAATGGTCTTGCAGCTTCAAAGACTGGCTGCTTCCTGCCTGGGGGAATCCTTTGTTGGGAGGTGTTAACTGGCCTTGATTGTTTCTATGCATTGCCGTAGCCTTCTTTGAAACCTTATGGGAGGAATGAGCAATGCAGATGGTATATCAGTTACACTAACATAAGGGACTGGAATGAAATAATACATTTCCACCCTCCTTAAAGTACCAGAGTGGACCCTACAAAAGACAGAAGAGATTATTCGCAGTAACTATAAAATGATTAAAATTAGCAGCTGAAATTGATAGGCAACAGATTAGTAAAAAATTTAAAATACTCCATTTAAATAATTGCTTCAGTGTACCATGAAATCCAATAGCTTGCTTTTCTTTTCAAGATTAGAATTACAATTGAACCTCCATACTTGTAAGTTTGCCTTTTGCAAATTTGATTATTTGTGGATTTGATTAATATGTTCACTCTAGGAATCTCTAGCTCCTCTATCACAATTCTATGCTCAACTTCCACTGGATGTGTGCAATAGAATCACACTGGAGGACTTAGAGATTCCTACAGAAGATATTTTTCTAGGCATTTGTAGGCCCTTTGGTGCAATTCTATGGTCAGCTTCCAGCAGAAATTGGGTGGAGGTCTTAGAGAGAGGTGTTCTCTCTGGTTAAGAAAAGTGTTGATTTTTTATTATTTGTTTTTTCTACTCTCACAGAGATTGTATATCCCCAACCCCCACAAAAGTGGAGGGCCTACTATACACACAAAGGCAGCTTTGTGTGGTGGGACTGCCTGTTTAAAAACTACATAAGACAGAATGTCAGATAATATTGGATGCCAAAAATGGGGAGGTGATATTACTCTCATGCTCTGCTTTTGAACGTCTTGCAGCTTTCAGCTGGCCATTCTCAGATGAAATAGTGAACTCAATAGAGCACCATTTCCAACCAGTGTTATGTTTCTTTAATTTTGAACCTCTTCTTGGGGAGTGCTCTTTGGTATCACTGGCCATTTAAGGGACCAACGGTCCTTACACACAGCCATGTAACCCAGAATATCAAGACAGATACTCCACAATATCTGCTTTGAACTGGATTATCTGAGTCCACACTGCTATGTAATCCGGTTCAAATTGGATTTTATACAGCTGTGTGGAAGGGGCCCAAGAATGAATCCAGAAGTGAAAGACATATTGCTGTGTGAAAAGAACTGGGATATAATCTCAGCATGATAAATATATATTACTGAACCTCCCAACCCATTATTTGTCCAGCTATATCCCCCATTGGAAGATGTGTGTGGAAGACCTGAGTTAATTGTTCCTTCAGGGATCTTAAAATCTGAGCATATAGAAAACAAACGAGCTTATAATTCACATGTAAATCAGTTGCTTCCTGATGAGTATGAATACTCTGATTGAATTATATCTTTTGAAATGCTATGGTAATCTGCTAAGAAATGACATTATTTTTTGTTAGATTACTATTTGTGAATAACTCAATTTGATTCCTGGCTGGTGACAAGACCAGCATGCAGTCATCCGCTTGCTTTTCTGTCTTTGCAGGAACATGCACCTATCCCTGTGTATCACCCAACACCCAGCCAGACGCGTCTTGCTACCCAGCTAACTGAAGAGGAGCAGATCCGTATCGCTCAGAGGATTGGGCTAATTCAACATCTTCCCAAAGGGATCTTTGATCCGGGCTCAGAGCCATCAGAAAAGAAAATCAAAGAGTATGTTTTCCTCATGCAATGCACTGCCTTTATTCTGAGGTCCTGCAGACCCAAACATTAATTGCAGTACGACTCCTTTATCTACAGATTCAATGTCCATGGATTCTTTTGCTCACATGCCAAAAAATATTTCTTCTCAGAAGCGTTTGTGGGCCTCTCTAGGTCCACCAGTGCAGTTTCATGGTATGGATCCAGCCAAAGATAATCAAAATATAGAATTAATTATTATACAAGGTTTTAGATTTTTGGGTGACGGGGATCTTTGGAATGCCCCTCCTCTGCATATACAGAGATCACATTGTATTAGCTAATTGGTGCATGAAAAACATGGGTACCTCACTGGCTTGATGATGAGCAGCAATTTGCCTTTGAAAAAATTACAGAAATGTATTGCCTAACCCATTTCTGCAGAAAACATATTTTTAGCCTAAATTAAAACCACACCTTTTCTAAGGCACTTTGCTAGTTTGAATATACTAAAATGTTTTAAAAACAGACTTATGCTTTACATTTATTTGTATTTACTAATTGTGTTATACTAAAGAGCAGGGGCAGAAATTATGTAGTCCTTCAGATGTCAGTGACCCGTGGCTCAGGTAGATCTACACCATTGGTTGCACTAGCAAGGCTGCTGGGACTTGCAGTCCAAAAATTCCTAAAAGAAGTATAGACTAGGATGGTACCTGGCTTATTCTATATTGGCACAGCAGTACATGTCGTAGCTGGAGATGTAAAGGTGGCAGGGAAGGTTTAAAAAGCCATTGTAAGTTTTCTATATTAATGAGTCCATTTTATTTGTGTCTTCCTGACTCCAGGTGTGTGATCTGCATGTTGGATTTTGTATATGGCGACCCCATCCGGTTCCTGCCCTGCCTGCACATCTACCACGTACATTGCATTGACGACTGGCTGATGCGATCCTTCACGTGTCCCTCCTGCATGGAGCCAGTTGACGCTGCTCTGCTGTCCTCCTATGAAACTAACTGAGGTGGCTGCGTGCCCTGCTCATGTTAATGCTTCCAGGCTGTGGCTGTGGGGGAGGCTGGGAGGCGGCACACTATTATTTGCACATTCTGGGATACACCAAAGAATCCTACGGCAAAGAATCTGCTCCCAGGCCCAAGGACAACACGCAGCCATTCGGGTTCAGCTGGCTGTGATAAAGGCTGACGTATCATATTTGCGCTTTGTATGAGGAGGGTGAGTGGGGTGAAGGCTGGAGTTGTCCTTCTATTCCACCCATCATTTTTGGATTTTTAAGATTGTTCTTTGAAGCTGTTCCCCTGCCCCACTTTTCTAAATCTCCATGGAATCTGCAAGTACGTTTTTCCTAGGGAGCTGCATGGGATTTTTCACTTTCCCACCCCCCATACCTGGTGAGGACAAATGAAATCTCGCTGGAAACATCTAAAGGGGGTTGTGGCAGAATGGGGTGAGGTATTATAGTTGGCAGAGTTTTTTGAAAGCATTCTCCTTTTCATCCCACCAAGATTAGTGCTTCATTGAAATCAGGCAGTTGGTTTGTTAGATCCTGTTCACTCTGGGGATTCTTTCAGGAGCAGCCATGTTGAAGTGGAAAAAACTAGCTCCTCTCCTCCTTTGTGGGGCAGCATGAAACAGGGATATGATTGGGGCAAGAAGCTGATTTGATCCTGTTGTTTTGGAGGCAGAGTGCTTCTGTTTAGAGGTTGGCATTTCAGCTAAGAGTGAAGGATACACTCTTCCTTTGCTCTATTCTGCTTTTAATTATTTTTTCTCAATTAGAGGGGGAATTTTTATCCATTCTGAGGAAGTGCAGCTTGGCACTTCTGAAGATGTTATGGCACAAGCAGATTCCCTGCTCATGTACTGAAGTTTATACCAATCCACAGCATCAGTATGTTATATCTGGTCACATGAATGAGATTTAGAGGGAACAGAGTACTTTCCCACTCTCAATTCTGATATAATTGCAGTTAACTCAATTTTGGGGGAAGTTTCTCACAAACATTTTCTACCTCTTGGTAACACTCTTCACAACCACGGTATTGATACTTCTAAAACCATTTCTTGGCATGCTTGTAAGGTGAGAGGTGGACAAGCGAATTGTAAATAACATTTTTTTATAGAAAGTTGTTTCTTCAGTACAATGAAACCCCCTTCTATAAGACTGACTATGGCTAAAGGCATATGATTACACTTTTTCAAAAGGTGAAGGAATTCTTATTTGTTACCCACCATTTACTCTGTTCGCCTTACACAAATTGAAGTGAAGACTCTTGTCCCATAGGAAACTGCTAGTGCAGTGTACTAGTTAGTGCCATGCGGCTGGCCCACTCTTTGGGATGGCTTCTCTTAGTCATGCTCTGTTTATTGCCTTGCAAGTGGAGAGGCGTGGAAGTGCTTTTCTGATTATGTATTGTCCTTAACAACGATCTAGCACTTGAAAACAAAACTGATGGAATACAAATGGAAATAAAACAGATTGCTTACAATCCCTTGGTATATATATATGTTTGTGGGGCCAGGGGTGGTGGTGAAGAAACTGCTGAATTTACAGGATGCTCCTAACTGTCCTTGTAACCCAAGTAGGGTGCTCAATACCTGGAATGCTTGATGGAAGTTACACTTTTTCCTTTGGTAATTCAGTCACCAAAAGTGATGAAATTCTTCCAATGAGTCATGTGGTCTATTGGTAACAATTACATATTTACATTTCTAGCCATTTTGCTTATTGTTACAGGACAGGGAAATGCACAAGGTGGACAAGAGGAACAGCTAGATAAAGACCTTATTTAAGTTCCAAAAAAGCCCTCTAGCAGCCAAAATCATAAGTTGCTTACCTGTAACTGTGGTTCTTTGAGTGTCGATCTGTGAAATTAGCACTGATGGGGTCTTCCTGTGCGCCTGCGCAGAAATTCGGAATATACTATAGCTTTAATTGAGTTTTTTTAACCTATAAGAAGCCCCGCCCCCCCGCCCCCCCCCCGCCCGTATAAAGGACCCACAGAGTGGTTTCACTTTAGTTCCTTAGCGCCAGACAGCAACCAAGGAAAAAACCAGAAAGGCATGACATAGAGGGGAGGATGGGCGGGTTCGTGCTAATTTCACAGATCGACACTCAAAGAACCACAGTTACAGGTAAGCAACTTATGATTCTTTGTCGTGTCGTCTGTGAAATGAGCACTGATGGGAGAATAGCAAGCTACTGACCTGGAGGTGGGTCATGCCACACAGGAGAAGAGTACGGCTCTGCCAAAGGCTGCGTCTTTCTTAGCCGCCAGGTCAAGTTTGTAATGAGACACGAACGTCGATGGCGTGGACCAAGTTGCTGCCTTGCAGATCTGGTCAAGAGGTACTCCACGAAGGAAAGCCTGAGAGGTAGAGACTGACCTAGTAGAATGGGCTGTAATGTGGAGTGGTAGTTCTTTACCTGCTAGCTGATAAGCCAGTCTAATGGTAGATATAATCCATGAGGCGAGTCTTTGGGAAGTCACTGGTTGACCCATGGCATCTTTTCTGTATTTAAGAAAGAGTCTAGGGGATATCCTATATGATGCTGTCCTATGTATATAAAAAGAAAGTGCTCTTTTAACATCTAACGAGTGAAGTGTTACCTCTAACGGTGAGGTCGGGTTAGGAAAAAAGGCCGGTAAAGTGATGTCCTGGGACATATGGAAATAGGAGACCACTTTAGGCAAGAAGGTAACATCTGTGCGGAGGACTACTTTGTCCTCATGAAAACGAACATAAGGAGGGTCAGCTCGGAGGGCAGAGAGCTCACTTGCCCTCCTTGCTGATGTAACAGCCACTAGGAAAGCAGTCTTCCATGACAAATGGGATATTAGAGCGGAAGACATAGGTTCAAAGGGTGGTTTAGATAACTGGGATAAAACTAGTTCTAAGCTCCATGAAGGGGCAGGGGGGGAAACTGGAGGGTATAGGTTTTTGTAGCCTTTGAGGAACAATTGAACAAGGTTATCCTGAAAAAGGGACGGCAAGTTTTTTTTCCGTCTAAGGGAAGACAGGGCAGATGTGTAACATTTAACTGAAGAAAAGGCGAAGCCTTTAGAGGCTAGGTGAGAAAGGAAATCTAATATCAATGGGATGGAGGCCACAGAGGGGGCTCGGCCTGTACTTTCAGCAAATGATTTAAAGGTGGTCCATTTGTAAGCATATGCTTTATGTGTGGATGGCTTTTGAGCTGCTAGGATTATGCGGGACACACTGTCAGAAAGCGTCAGCGTGGTTTGAGCCTCCACGCGGTTAGGTGAAGGGAGTGTGGGTCCGGGTGTTGTATTAGGCCGTTTTCGACCGTGAGAAGATCTGGGGATAGGTGGAGCCGGAGAAATTGGCCTTGAGAGAGTTGGAGGAGTGGAGTGAACCATGGTTGGCGGGGCCACCATGGTGCTATCAGTATGCAATTTGTATTGTCTGTAATTATTTTGGCTATAACCGAGGATAGGAGCGGGAGGGGGGGAAAGAGGTATAATAGGCCGGGGTTCCAGTGGAAGAGGAATGCATCTCCGAGGCAACCTGGGAATGCGCGAGGGGGGAGTCGTGCGCAAAACAGGGGACAGTGAGTGTTTGTCGGTGATGCAAAGAGATCTATCTGGGGCATGCCCCAGAGATTGGAAATGACTTTGAACTTGGATGGGTGAAGCTGCCACTCGTGGCTGGTCTGTGTGGACCTGCTCAGTGAGTCGGCCAGAGTGTTGTCTTGACCCGGAAGGTGAATGGCAATCAGGAAAACTCTTTCCTCTATGCACCATTCCCAGATGCGGGTCGCTATGGAGAGCAGGGTCTGGGAGTGTGTTCCGCCCTGTTTGTTGAGGTAGTATTTGACGGTGGTGTTGTCCGTCACTACCTGGATTGTGTGATTGTATACAATTGGTTTGAAGGCTCTCAGTGCTTTTTCCACTGCAATGAGTTCTAGGGCGTTGATGTGTAGCTGACGCTCTGGTTTCGACCAGCGGCCGCTGATCTGGAGGTCGTTTATGTGTGCCCCCCATCCCAATGTGGAGGCATCGGTCGTGAGGGCCATGGACGGCCTGGGTGGGTGGAAGGGCATTCCCCGGTTCACATTGTATCGCTTTGTCCACCATGATAGGGAGTCGAGGACAAGCTGGGGGGGGTGGAGGATAGTGTTTTGGGAGTCCTTGTGTGGACGGAACACTCTGAGGAACCAATTTTGGAGGGGTCGTAGCCGTAGACGGGCGAAGGGAGTAACAGTGGTGGTAGATGACATATGGCCAAGGATGGACTGGATGGCCCATGCGGAGGCGCACTTGCGATTCTGGAGGTCCAGAATGGCTTGTCGAAGGTTGTTTAGGCGGTCTTCTGGGAGGTAGGCCTTTCGGAGCGTAGAGTCGAGGACAGCTCCTATAAACTGTATTCGTTGAGACGGGAGAAGGTGAGATTTTTCTTGGTTCACAATCAGGCCCAGGTCCTGTAGAAGACATAAAGTGTAATGAATGTCAGATGACAGTTCAGAGTGAGATCTAGAACACAAAAGCCAGTCGTCCAGGTACGGGAAGACCGTAACCCCCTGTTGGCGGAGATGTGCCGCTACAACAGTCATACATTTAGTAAACACCCTGGGAGAGGTACAAAGTCCGAAAGGGAGCACATTGAATGAGAATATTTGGCCATCTATTGCAAAACTGAGAAATTTGCGATGTTGGGGTCGAATTGAGATATGGAAATATGTATCTCGGAGGTCTATGGTTGCTAACCACGCTCCTTCTGGGAGGAAGGGAAGTATGTTGGGAAGAGTGACCATCCGAAACTTACGAGGTGTTATAAAGGTATTGATTTTACGTAAATCTAGGATAGGGCGGAGTCCTCCATCCCGTTTATCCACAAGGAAGTAGCGGGAGAAGAAGCAAGATGAAGCTTCACATGAGGGGATTGAGGAAATAGCACCCTTTTGGAGAAGGGAGGTAATTTCTTCCCAGATGACAGGGGAAGATTCAGTAAGTATGATCTTGCCCGTCGGGGGGTAGGAGTGAAATTCAATAGCATAGCCTCTATTAACAATATCTAGCACCCAGGTGTCAGAGGTTATGGCCCGCCACGCGGGGAGGTACGGTTGAAGTCTGTCAAGGTAGGAGGGAGAGGGTGTGGTGGGGTTAGGGGTTGGGGGAGGTTTAGAATCACATTGTTTGCTAAAAACGGCGTTTGTTATTGTTAGGTGGCCTGGTACCATGGTACTGACCCCTGGCAAGTAGAGGAGGTCTTCTTGTAGGTAGAGTCGATGAGTACGGTCTTCTTCCCCTATAGAAGGAGGAGTAGTAGGGTCTGTGATAGAACTGGGGTCGTTGGTAGTAAGGACCCCATCTGTGTTTTTGTTGGTAGGGATATGATTGTTGGCCATATTTGTTTACTGTCTGTTTCATCTCATGAGAGTGTTTTAGTTGGGAATCTGTATCTGGATTGAAGAGGCCTGCCTCATCCATTGGGAGGTTTTCAATTAGTGTGCGCTGTGATGGAGAAAGGATAGCAGCACGTAACCAGGCATGGCGATGCAAGGCCACTGAGCCAGCAATGAGTTTAGCAGAAGTGTCAGAAGTATTTTTTGCAAGGTCTTTTTGTAATTTAGACAGTAGTAGTGCTTCCTGGTGGAAGGCCTTAATTAAGGGCTGATCCGTCGTAGGAAGGAGATCTAAGTAAGGAGTCAGTTTATTCCAGAGATGAGTCTGATAGACACTCATATAGACTCCATAGTGAGCCATGCGTGCAAACAAGCATGCTGAGGAGTAAAATTTTTTGGCCATAGTGTCCAGTTTCCTCCCTTCTTTAACCGAAGGGGAGGATTGGTTAGCTTGAAGTTGTTGAGGAGTGATATAGGTTTTGGTTGAGCATCTGTCACTATAGAATTTGCTTTAGGCATCTTAGAGAGCCATGATGCAGAAGTAAGGTCAATACGGTAAAGATTTTCTGCTCTTTTGGGTGTAGCTGGCACAAGAGCTGGTACAATCCCAGTAGTCTTCAGGATTTTTAGAAGGTAAGGTAGGGTAGGTAGGGAGGTCGATATAGGGGGCTGTTGTTCAGAAGTGGTGAAGCAAGGATCCTGAACTGTATCAGAGGGTTCAGGGATGGACAAATTAAGGGCCCTAGAAAGCCTAATTAGCAAGGCGGAGAAATTTTTGAAATCTTGAAGTTGTTGAGGAGTGATATCAGAGTCAGGCTGAGGATCAGGGAAGGCAGGGGTATCGTCTTGAGAACCAAGATCAATAGTATCAGAGTCAGGTTGAGGGGGAGGGGAATCCTCTGGAGGAGGATCCTCCTCCATTGGTTGAGGGTGTGGGGGAGGGCGAGAAATGGTGGCCGAGGGGGGCACACGTGAGGGCTGAGGGTGTGAGGGCCTATGTAGATGAGGATCAGCAGGCCCTTGTTCTCCATAGTGATCTGGAGGAGGATAGTAAAAGGGATAGGCTGGGTATGGAGGAGGAGGAGGGTAGATGTGGTAGGGATAATCTGGATAAGGATAAGGGATGAGTTGGGGAGGGTGCGCGCGCGCGCGCTTAGGAGGAGGTGGGGAAGGGCTTTGGGAGCGCTCAGAAGAGGCGGAACGGTGGTTCCGCGAGGAATGCTCTCTCCGGGGGGGAAGTTCTTGAGGAGTGGAAACCATCGGTACCGAAGGAGCAGGGCTAATCAAGTTGGGAGGGGCGGAGGACTGGGAGGGAGGAAGCGGAGGCGGCGAGAGAGCCGGATCCGGCGAGGCTTGTCCCTGAAGGTGAGTGGAAAGGAGTTCAAGGGGGGGGGGGAGTTGGGGAGGGTTTTCAATCTGGAGGAAGGACGCCAGCGACTCTTGCACATGGTGGGGAGAGGAGAGTGGCTGAGGCATCGGATCCAGAGGGGGAGGGCTCAAGGGCTGTGTGCCAGTGAGTTGCCGTCCCTTTTTCTGTTTGGTATTTTTTTCTTTTGATTTGCCTGATTTTGAAGCCTGTTTGGAAGGCTTAGATTTTTTCCTCAAAGGCTCCGCAAGGGAAGCAGAGGGTAAATTGGAGTCAAGCCTATCTCCAGCAGGAGAGGGAGGCTGAGCTGTTTGTATATCAGGGGATTGGGACTCAGCCACGTGGCGCGCGGAAGTGGAAGGGGCTTCCGGGGCCAGAGCTCTTTCATATAGTAGAGCTTTTAGACGGGCACCTCTGCTTTTACGAGCTCTAGTTGTAAAGCTTTTGCAGATCTCACAGGACTGGGGGCTGTGAGACTCGCCCAGGCATAAGAGGCACTTCGAGTGCCTATCGGCATCGGGGAGGGTAGTCCCACAAGCCGAGCAGTTTTTAAAAAATAAAGTAGCCATCTAGCCTGAGAAGAATCCAGGACAGTCCAGGGTCAGGGAAGGAGAAGTCAGCGTAGTCAGAAGCCAGAAAAAGAGTCCAATAACCAGAGAAGTAAGCAGGGATAGAATAGCATAGACCGAAGTACTTGCTGTCGCGCGGAAAAGGAACTAAAGTGAAACCACTCTGTGGGCCCTTTATACGTGCGGGGGTGGGTGGGCGGGGCTTCTTATAGGTTAAAAAAACTCAATTAAAGCTATAGTATATTCCGAATTTCTGCGCAGGCGCACAGGAAGACCCCATCAGTGCTCATTTCACAGACGACACGACAAAGAAACTAATGTACCAAAAAAGCAGTTGGTATGACCTCAGTTTAGTAGAGTTTAGTATGTAGAGCAGGACTCTGAACTTGTGTCGTACTAGAAATTGAATATGAAGAATTTACACAATTTTATACTTTTTCAAACAATTAGATTTTCAACATTTTATTATTTTCAGTCAAAAGGCAACTGATTGGAGTCCTCCTGCCACTCCCTAACACTAGTAGCAGCACTTCATAAGTACTACTACATAAGTGTTTGCTCTTCTTCAAGCATGAATACAATAGTGTATTATGTTAATAATCAGTAACACATTTCTTGTAAAAATAATTAAGTAATGTATTGTATTTCGAAGTAATTATTCCAAGTCTGAGTTTAATCGCTATGAAAGGAACTGTTTTCATATTCCACATGTGATCAGAAATAATCCATTTATCATGCTGGAAATGGATTACTTTTGATAATACCCATTTCCAGCACAGTAAATGGACTATAAAAGTGTAATTAACTTTTGTCCTGAGAGCCACACAATAATGATTTTAGAATTGTCTAACTAGAGTGCAGTTATACTTTTAACATTTGAGCACTTAAATCAACATTGACTAGGTAGCTTGTGTAGATTAAAAGGTAAATATTTTCCATAAAACTGTACAAGCCTAAATGGGAAAAAATCCCATATCTGTCTGTTTCAAACTGATTAACACAATATTTTATGTGAAGTAATTCTCTTTACTCCATAAAGCAGTGGTAGGAAGTCTGTTGCCCTCAAGCTGATTAACTGCAAGTCTCATCAGGACCCAGCCAACACAGACAGAGGTGGGAGATGCAAGAAGTGGCAGTTCAACAGCATCTGGAGTACCATGTAACTCCCATCCCTGCCACACACAAAAATATACTTGCCTAGGATTTTTGGATGTAATATTTACATCAATAATTAACAATTCTAAGACACTTCTGAGCAGCAGGAAAGGCTATCTCTAACATACAAGAAAAAAGATGGTTGACAAAAGCAGTATCCACAACAAAAATTTATTTTAAAAAGTTAGTATTAAGAATGATTTATCAGAACTCTTAAGCTGGACTGTGGTGGCCAAAAACAATATAGAAGGGAGCTTGATCAAACATAGAACAAGGAAGCAAACCACCACCTTTTAAAGCTGGCTAGAAACCAGATACCAGTGAAACGTTTAAATCTTTGGAGCTGCTTTGGGTTTTCAATGGCAAGCAGTCTCTCATATGACAACTCTGAGCCCCTTTCAGACATTACCTCAGTATAAATACACTGCAGGGGTAGAAATGTGATGATTTCATCAAGCCCCAACATGCACTTAGCAAGAATGTCGGAAATAGGTGCTTGCATGCACACAGTTAGACATGCAAAAGATTGTGCCAGATTGTCAAGGCTTCCAAACTTGCTGATGTGCCCACATGCCTTTAGACTTGCATACACAGAAATCCGTTCCAATATTTCCTACTGAATACGTGATTTCAGGCAGATCATACTGCTTCCCACACATTCGAAAGGAAGGTTCTGAGGAGAGCTCACACTGGAAGAAATCCCAGGATTCAATTAAAGAGCACTGTTGTCTTTGCCTCAAGAATCTTTAAGTATCCTACATAAGTACCAAAATTGTTCTAATTTGTAGAAAGCTGTGACTTTCAGAGAGAAGGAATATTACATAAATATCTGGCTTGCACGGATAAACACTTATTTAATGTTAATTTAGGCACCTCAGATGGTAAAATAAAACCTCGGCAGGCCTTCCTTCAGTGTACAATGATTCCCTAGGACTATCACATATTGAATATAGCTCTAGAGTCAGGTACTAGTATTTTATCTGCATTCTTCCAGACCACAAACAGCTTCTCTCACTAAAAGGAGTTTGCACAAATAGGAAAAGATTTCGATCTGAACTGTAATTGTTTTTCGGCACAAAGATCAGAAGCCAAATAATGCTATGTTATGATCTCAATAGTAGTCTCATTCCTTCATTTCAGTCCAATTGCTAGGAATGTACTGAGACCTTTTTATGAAGTTGTCAAACTTAGTTACTCTCCATGACTAAATTAATATAACTTGCAACAAGGGTTTAAATTTCAGTTCTGTGTCGTAGAAACTGAGGAATCAAATTGGGATATACTGAAAGAATGAAACAAAAGGGAAAGGAAGGCAAGAAAGAAAGAAGACTGGAAAGGAAAGGGGAAGAGAGATCCCATGCATGCAGCAAGCACACTTTCAAACCAGTGGCCATGAACTCCACTTGGGTTTGACAGCCCAAGAAATTAAGCCACAAATTTTAGAAATCAAAAAGAGGAACAAGTATCATGACATCTGGGGTTGTAGTCATTTCAGGGCATATTTTTACTGTAGTAATTTTAGGCAATTTCTCCAACACTTGGTTTTGGTATTGACCAAGTTACTAGTTTCTTTGCTAGCAGATTGGCAAAATCAACTCATTTTAGATTAGAACATGCACAGCTGGAGGCCAGGTTTAAGCAACAGAAACTGGAACTGAGGATGAAACCACATAACCAACTGCAATATATAATAAAACAGGGCAAAGACAAAAGGACGTAGGAAAAACCGCAGTCACAGAACTGCAAGATACAAAGCACATCAGAAAGCACCAGTGCCACTAATCTTTCATCATGGACAGGTGACTGTAACAAAGTGCTCAGGGATGACTACTGCCTGCAGTGCAGATTGGCTAGTTGGGACCATGTTAAGTTCACCTTTGAACGTCAATTGACAACACACTTGCAAAAAAAGAGCAAGGTACATTGTCTGGTGATTCGGGGGAAAATACATCAGACCAATTCCACTATTTTGAGAGGGAGGGGGGTTACAGATACAAAAAAAAATCTTGTAACTAGGCCAAAGTCTTGTTCTCAGAAGAAAGAAGAAGAAAACAACAAATGAACCAGTGAAGGAGGCTCTAAATCCCCAAATATAAAAGTATGGCAAGTCACTTGCTGCCATGCAGCATTCAGTCAATGGGAAAGAGCTATTCTCCTTTGACGTTTTAAATAATTATGTACATCAGAGACAGTCCAGGTTGGAGAGGAAAGTTATTTCACCAACGGGCGGGTTTTATCATCGTCACTGCACTGGTGGGCTTTGTATTTTTTCACTTCAGCCATATACTTGGCCCATGCATCTCCTTTACTTGTCAAAACCTACAAAAGAAGAAAGGGGAGGAAGTACGAAAGGTTACATATGAGGAAGACCTGGATACATGTGGAGAATATCTGTATTCAGAAAAATACCATACTCAGCACATCAACTCTCCCAGACATCAATTAAAAAAACCCAGCGAATTCTAGGACAGAGATTGTTTTATTGTATTACCATATCTCAGCCCAACCTACTAAACTAGGTAATTGTAAAGACAAAAACCATGTCATGTATGTTGCTGCTTTAACCTCCCTAAATATATTTTACAAATAGGGAAGACACCAAATTCTTCAGTCCCCTGATAGCTTGGCCCCTTATTTGTAAAAAACAGAATATGTGACCTAGCCTCTTGGTTGCAACTTGAACAGGTGAAATAAAAACAAATATGTCTCTGTTAGACTTGCAGACTCATGTAGTAGTTCTAATCTGAAAAACTTTGAATAGGGAAGAGTAGGAAGTAATGAGTCATTACAGCATTACTTGGTAATCCAAAGGAGGGAGGAAATTTAAGTGACATAATTGTGCTCCCTAACCCCCCCCCCCCCTCTCTCCAGGGTAGGAAACACATAGCTCTCCAGAAACTGTTGAAGAGGAATTTCCATCAGATCAGCCATTGGTTATGTTGTCAAATACTGATGGAACTTGCAGTTCAACAATACCTGGAGGAACACACATTGCCTGGATGGTGCAGAGGAGCAATCCAAAATCCTTTGTATTATGTTCCTCTGACACCAGTTCCAGACACAGGGTTGAACAAGCTTAAACTGACAAAGTAATCGAAGTCCCCACAAAAGATGCTGATATAGTCATCTCTCCACATGTGTGGATTTGACTTTTGTGGATTTCATTATTCACGGAATTTGATTTAAAATGTTATCTCCAGGAAACTTTGATCCTCAGTGTTACTCTATGGTCAGCTTACTCCAGTCATGCTGGGGGACCTAGACATTTCTATGCAGAACGCCTCTCTAGGAATTTCTAGGTCCTCAAATGTGATTCTATTTTCAGCTTCCAGCCAACACTGACCACACTGTTGTGTTGAAAGACCAAAACATTCTTAAGTACTTTCTCAAGTAAAAAAAAAAAAAAAAGCAGATTATTTATTCAGGGTTTTTCAGTTTCACAGGGGTTCTGTATCCCTAACCCCAGCGAATGTGGAGGGCTGACTTAGGAAAACAAATCAAGCAGTGACAAAAATGTCAAGCCTAGACAGCTTCACCTTCTAAATTTTGCTGGAATGGACGCCAAGGCACTGCTGCTTTCACTTGAACATGTTACAACCCTATCAGCTAGTCATTCCATATGCATACCATGAAGCTCACATCAACTTACCTCATCCTCTGTCTTTTGTTTCTTGGCTACCACTCCTGTCTTCAGGGCTAGCTTGCTGCCCCCTCTCCGCTTGCCCACCTGGGTGAAGGGATAGAAGACTGCAACCGTTACACGAGCCTGGGAGCTGCAAGGGGAATGTTGCCCACTATATAACGGTATAGGGAGTCCTTCAATTAGATCATCTTAGCTCGCCATCACACCTGTCAGTCAGTACAGAGCTGCCGAGCGTTACCTACACCGTTGTGCTAGGAGGGTAAAAGGGCACCTTAGCAGTGTTCTCCAAAACAGCTGTACAATTATGCCCAAACATTAGAAAAACATAACAAGTATCAAGAAAGATAAATATTCTCAATTATTTCAAGTCTTGTTGTCTGTTAGGACTCTCACTAAACTGTAATCCACACTTCCCTTAAACATTGTGGTATGGAATATTCATTAATTAGATGAATCTTCTTCTAAATAGATCAAATTAGAAAATCCAACCTGACACTGCCATGGGGATTACTGTGCATAATAATGTCATCCTAGAAAACTGCATGACCTCTTTTGCCAACAATGCCTGAAAACCTGGAAGAAATTTCAAGTATTGTATTGAAAAAGAAAATTCCCAATCCTTAAAGCAATGAAGAGGATGCTTGTGAAGTTTCTGTTAAATCAAGGGTGAGGAATTCCCACAGTGAACCATTTTCAACACCAGAGATAAATGGAATGTCTAGTAATTGCAAAACTGGCTGAACAAACTTGACTGGACATCGCATCTGGCTTTTATTTTGAGGTATACTTTTTAATCTGCCACTTTTGGAAATCTTGACAAATAGCATTTCAAGTTTTGGGGCAATTTTATGCACTCCATAGAAAAAAGCTTTATGGAGGTAACGGCACGCACACACAAAAGGATTAGGGGTGCTGCCTGCAAATCACAAGCCACATCTTCCCTGTGTTAAAGACAGAGAAAAAAAGTTGGGTTCCAATCGTAATCAAGTAGGCAAACACACAATTATGTAATCATTCCACTAAAATCCTGAACAGACTCCTTTCTTCTATTATTATTTTTATCATTAGATAATAAAATTCAGCCATACTTCAACTCCTCCCTGGCAACTATACATAAGATTAATACAGTTTTTCAGCAGTAAGAACAATTAGAGAAGCACATTTTAGTTTCAAAAAAATTAGGCTTTATAGCTGAAGATGTTAAAACTATGTGCAAAAACGTGTTTATGTTTCACAAGGAAGCTATAAGAGATCTTAAACTGCAACAGAGTGGGCACAACTATCTATATTGGAAAATAACACCTTACTACTAGAATTTATCTCAGATTCTCAGTGCTGTCATAATATTGTTTCTGTGAGTGCTACAGGCACTCACAGAAACAGACAGCTAAAGCAAAACATGGTGTTGCAGTATGTACTTCAGAGATCCATATCCTGAATCCAATCTGAATACATACATCATTCTGCATGTCATACTACACTGGCAAATTTTTATCCTCAGATGAAAAAAGTCACCTTTTTTCAAACTCATAATAGACATACTACACACCACATTTACCTGTCAGTTGAACTGACACACAGGAAACAACAGAAAGAGCTTTATAAATTAGAATGTTTTTGCTCTGACTTCTGAATAACTGTGACTTACTGAAACAAACAACAGCAGCCAATTCACTTGCGATATAAGAATACAATCATTGCAAATTAAACGCATGAAGATTAACAGGAGTAACTTTTGAACAAACATACTTAGGATTGGAGGACAACATTTTTTAAGACTCACATTATGGTCTAGGCCTATCAGGCTCAATGCTTAGAGGAGCATGTCCGAGCTTCTATTTGCCAGGCCCCTGTACACTCATATCAAGGTAAACAAATTCAGAACAACAGTGATTTCTACAATTGTGGCTGGTGTTGAACATACTATCACACAACATTGATTTAAGACGTTTACTTCTCACACACTTCTTTATTTTAGAGGGGGGGAAATGGACAAGGAATTGGCAATTTGGACAAGGAAGACAGTGTCTGATTCTGGGCTCCAAAATTCAAGAAGATGTTGACAAGCTGGAATGTGTCCTTAGGAGGGCAACCAATATAATCTTAGGCAGTGGTTCTTAACTTTTGGTCCTCCAGATGTATTGGACTTCAGCTCCCACAATTCCTAACAGGTGTTAAATTGGCCAGGATTTCTGGGAATGGAAGTACAAAACAACTGGAGAGCCAAAGGCTGAGAACCACTGATCTAAGGTTTGGAAACCAGATCCAATGAGAAGCAGCTGCGGGAGCTGGGGATGTTTAGCCTGGAGAAAAGAAGACTGAGAGAATGGGACATGATAACCACGTTTAACTATTTTAAAAGACGCCATATTGAAGAAGGGGCAAGTGTGTTTTCTACTGCTCTGGAGACCAGGACAGAGAGCAATGGATTCAAATAGTGGGAGAAGATATTCCACCTAAACATTAGGAAGAACTCCCTGACAGTAAGAACATTCAGCAGTGGAATATGATGCTGCCTGGGAGTGCTGTGGAGTGTCCTTTAAGTAGAGGCTGAATGGACATCTGTTGGGGCTGCTTTGATGGCAGGGGGTTCTCTTTCATTCTATAATTCTATACACATGGCGTGAAGTTGATTTTAGAAACTATAGTTTTGTGCATGAAACAAAGTTTCGCTGAACTACCAGAAAGTAAAGATGTCGCTTTCTCCGTCACCTACCTGCACAATTTTGAATTTGGGGGTATCTTGGATAAGAGATGCTCAGCTTATAGCAGGCATGGGCAAACTTGGGCCCTCCAGGTGTTTTGGACTTGAACTCCCATAATTCCTGGCAGCCTCAGGCCCCTTCCTTTTCCCCCTCAGCCACTTAAGCGGCTGAGGGGGAAAAAGGAAGGGGCCTGAGGCTGCCAGGAATTATGGGAGTTCAAGTCCAAAACACCTAAGTGGCTGAGAGGGGAAAGGAAGGGGCTGCAGCTGGCAGGAATTATGGGAGTTGAAGTCCAAAACACCTAAGGGGCTGAGGGGGGAAAGGAAGGGGCCGAGGCTGCCAGGAATTATGGGAGTTCAAGTCCAAAACACCTAAGTGGCTGAGGGGAAAGGAAGGGGCTGAGGCTGCCAGGAATTATGGGAGTTCAAGTCCAAAACATCTGGAGGGCCCAGGTTTGCCCATGCCTGGTTTATAGTGTCAAAAAAAGGTCCTAGTCTTTTAAATCATTCTTTCTTGAACTATGGGGTCCGGACCCAAAATAGGATCCCCTTTGTTCAATGTTGGGGCCATAAAAATGGGGCAACAGCCAAAGGTTCCTGAACGCCACCCATCTAGAGAAACCTGTTAGCAACAACGTGCAGTGTTTACAGTTGCTGTGCAGAAGATGCTTGAGCTATAGTCCACAAAAAGGGAAACCGGCCTGTGTAGTAAGCCCTGGAATGGCCGATGTCTTATCAGTGGCGTGGGAGGCACCTCTACCCTGAAGGGAAGCGGGTTCTTGCCTGCCACGTTCCTACAAACTTTGGCCCGGAAGGCGGAGCGCGGGCCCGAGGTAGGGAGGAAAGGGTCAGAGGCGGGAAGAGAAGCAGAGGGAGGAGAGGAGGAGGAGGGAGGGCCAGGGCCCGGGTCCCTTACGAAGCTGAGGGCGCTTCCGGTCCGCTTCTTCCCGGGCGGCTCCGGCTCCTGCTCCCCGGGCGGCTCCGCCTCCCTCGGCGCCCCGGCGCCCTCTCGCCCGCCCGCTTCCGGGCCGCTCCTCGCTGCCGCCGAGGAGGCCTCTTCCATGCGCCGCTTGAAGAGCTCCAGGAAAGAGCCGTCGTTGGCGAACACGTTCACCCCTCCGCCAGGCCCGGACGCCTCTCCGCCGGGCCCTCCTTTCCCCTTCGCCGCCGCCATTTTGCGCCGCCCTCCCTCCCTCCCTCCCTGAGCGGGGCGCCGCAGGGGATGACGGGAGGACAGCCGCCGCAAGGCACGACGGGATAAAGCAGGGCCCCAAAAAGCCGGCGCTAAGGCTCAGGCGTGGAAAATGACAGCGTTTGCTTTGGCCGCAGAAAACTGACAGCTTGGCAGAACCAATCACAACACTCAGTGATTGAAGGGACACGCCTTCTGCCAATCCGGTGTGTGCCTTTTCTGCTACGTCCGCTGGCCTGAAAGCCAATCGGGAGAAGAGGGCGCGGCGGGCCAATCCGCTCAAAGAAGACGCGCTCTAGGCGAGACCACAGCCGCCGGATCGGTAGGGGTGTGCTTTGTTGCGTCGCCGGTCCCTTTATGACGCGCGCATCGCACGTCGCCAGGAAGGGCTGAGGGCGCTCCCCTCTCGGCCTCGTGAAGGAAGGCGCGCCCCCTCCTGACGCCCGCTTTCCCCTTCAAAATGGTCTAGCCCGGCGCCCGGACACGTGACTTCTCTCCAAGATGGCGGCGGCGTCTAGTTCGGCGCCTGGTCCCTCGGCGGCCGAGGCGGACGAGTTCGAGGATGCGCCCGACGTGGAGCCGCTGGAGCCGACGCTGAGCAACATCATCGAGCAGCGCAGCCTGAAGTGGATCTTCGTGGGCGGGAAGGGCGGCGTCGGCAAGACCACCTGCAGGTCAGCCCCCTCCCAAAGCGGGCGGGCGGGCGGGCGGAGCTGCTCCTCGGGCACCAGGACAGAGAGCGGGCCCTGCCGCCAAGGCGCTGCCCGTCGGCCAAGGCCACACGCGGGGCTTCCCGGCCTTGGGCCCTCCGGGGGTTGGGAATTCAGCTCCCAGGGGCCCCAGCCGCTGCTGCATGTCATGGGCCGCCCTTCAGATTCATGCTGTTCCACACCACTTTGACTGCCATGTTTCATTTTGTGGGAGTTGCGGTTTTGGTTAGGTATCAGCACTCCAGGGCAGAGAAGGCTGAAGGCCTCATAAGACTACAGTTCCCATAATTCCGTAGCATTGAGCCATGGGCTTAAAGACACGGATGTTCGGCTGTGCTTATACTGTTTAATGTTGTTTATTTTGTTATATTGTTTTTGTTAGCACCTTGTTGATATGCGTTTTAATGTATTATGTTTTAACGGTTGGCCCCGTGTAAACTACCCAGGGAGATAGAGGTGGGGTATACAAATAAAGTTATTATTATTATGGAGACAAAGGTATGTCAAACTGCGTCCATTCTTCAGTGTATGTTTGCCACAAGATTGTGTTTGCACTATCATTTCACTCTGCCTTTTCAAATGAGATAGATCCCTCTAATACCAAAATTGGCCACTGCTGTGAGCTCAAGTACAGCAGTCCAAAGGGGCTGCTGTTTAGCACATCCCTATTAATGTCTACTCTGATCTAGATTGTAGAGCGTAAGATTGTAGCCTAAAGACAGAAATTACAGTCTTGCATATGTTGTCTCAAAGCCAATTTTAGTATATTGAGGGAGATCTTTTTTCTATATGTTTTATTTACTACATTTCTATCTCGCCCTTCTCACCCCAAATGGGACCTGGCATGGCTCACAAGAGAGGCACAATTCAGTGCCTTGATACACATAAAAATAACAGCATAAACTTTAAAATCACATAATTAAAACTTATCACTTAAATGATTATTTAAACACACACAGTCCAAAGGCCTGGTATATATATTACCATATCACATATATTACTATATTATTAGATGTGGAATTACAGTAAGTTACCACCAAGAATAAAGACAAATAGAGCCATTTGTGAATATCTGATTCCAATGACAAGAAAAAGTATTAATGTGTTTTAAGAAACGCTACGTTTTAAAATTTGCCTTTTTGGGCTATTCATGTCAGCTGCAGTGGCTAATTTTGGTGTTCATGGGGGGAGTGTGAGCCACTAGAATATTTTGTTTCCTGATAATTCTTTGAACATATTCAAAAGGCTAACATAGAGATAGACAAGCCATGAAAGATATAGTTTTTTTCTCATGTTATTGTAACCTTCAATGCACCCTGGTTTCTCCTAAATCAAGAAACCATATTGGAAGTTATGATTATTAAGAGTGAATAAATCAAAACTGTCTAGAATGGTAATGCTATGGCAGTAGAAGGATCAATGCAGATTTTTGTTTGGTTGGTTTTTTTCTCTGTACCATATCAGTAACTACATCTTGTTTCATTTTCTGGATCCAGCTGCAGCTTGGCTGTGCAGTTGTCCAAAGTGCGAGAGAGTGTCCTCATCATCTCCACTGATCCTGCTCATAACATCTCAGATGCTTTTGATCAGAAATTCTCCAAGGTTCCCACCAAAGTTAAGGGCTATGACAACCTTTTTGCCATGGTGAGTGTGACTCGGAGGGAATCAGGCAGGCAAAGCAATTGTTTTTGTGTAAAAATTTGTGCTTCAGTCCTTCTTTTGTAAGGTAGAGATAAAGGTTTCCCCTTGACATTAAGTCTAGTCGTGTCTGACTCTTGGGTGTGGTGTGCATCTCTGTTTCTAAGCTGACGAGCCAGTGTTTTCTGTAGACACCTCCAAGGTCATATGGCCAGCATGACCGCATGGAGTGCCGTTACCTTCTTGCCAAAGTTGATCTACTCACATTTGCATGTTTTCAAACTGCTAGGTTGGCTGGGGTAAATAGCAGGAACTCACTCCACTCCCTGGATTCCAACTGCTGACTTTTTGTTCAGCAAGTTCTGCAGCTCAGCAGTTTAACCTGCTGCGCCACAGGGGGCTCCTTTTTTGTACATGACCTGAAATAAGGTTGCCAGTACCTATCTTCAGTATTGAATTTTAACAGCAGCCTGATGATACAAATGAATTGAAGAAAACTTTGCTAGATAATTTATTTCTTTGCCAACTAAAGCAGTATTCAATATAGCTTCTTAAATATCCAGGCACTATATTAGAAAATAGCTCCTTTTGGTCTAATAAGATTAATGCAGGGGATGTGAGGTTAAGAAGGAGATTAGATAGGAACTGCTTCAACAAAGTAAATGAGTGGAATTAAGTAACAGGGACAGTGTTTTAAAAGACTGGAAACATGATTTTTAGTTGCTGTCCCCAACTCATAGTACTACTCACTTACAGACTCGGGATGGAGGGGATATAAAACCGTATTTCCTCAGTGACAACCTGATGTCTAAGACAAAATACTCAGATTAATAGAAGAGTCTGTAAAGAGTACATTTCTTCTTGTTACCAAAAGTCTATATACAAACCTTGTCTCAGGACTGATGCTATTTTTCCAGGACAAAGGAGATTATGGCACAGAATTAACATTGAATATAATCTTGGGCTGTATGAATATCTTTTAGTGAGTTAAGACTGTGGACCAGAAAGAAGAAAAACATGAGTACCGTAAAATTAACTTTTATGAGTTGAAGCTAGGATAAGTTGTCTGTGAGGAAAGACTAGTAGTGCTTAGGCTGTTCGAGGAAAGGGGTTGTGTGCTTTCAAGCTGTTTCTGATTTATTGCAACACTAAGTAACCTACCATAGGGATTTCTTGGCAAGATTTGTTCACAGTGAGGTTTGACTTGCCTCCCTTTGAGGCCGAGAGAGTGTTACACACCAAAGGTCACATGGTGGGTTTCCATGGCTGAGCTGCAATTCAAACCCTGGTCCCCAGTTTAATAGTCCAACACTCAAACCCCAGTACACCTTGGAGGTGGAGGAAAAACCGTGCTCATGAAGTGGAGAAATCGATATAGGAGAAATTATTTTCCCTTTAAAAATGCCAGAGCCAGTGCCATAAAATTAACTCAAACATTGGGAGATTCGGAACAGTTGACATCTTCATAGAGCATGTAATTTAGAGATAGTGATGTTCACACACAGTTGGTCTTAAAATGGCATTGGATATTTAATGGGAACTAAATATGAGGGTGGGTCTAAAAGTTTTGCCTCCCACCCTCGTACATTGTTCTGCTAATCAGGATGGCTATTATTTTCAGTATCAGGGCACTGTGTCTCTAAAGTACAGCTATATGGGTGTGATAACACTTGCTTCCTAACTATGGGTTTCCCATAGGCCTATTGTTGGCCACTCTAAAATAATGCTAGATAGATGTTTAGTTTGATATTTAGTTTGATTCAGCTTAATTTTTATGTTTTTAAAACTGGCTGTACTGGCTAGGAACTGCATACTTTTAAACTGCATACTTTTAAACTGCATACTCTTATTCACTAAAACAATTAAATTTAAATATGAATGTCACTTATTTTTTTTTCTGTGTTTTTTTTTAAATTAGCCACAGTAGTTCATGTACCGGTAATTTTCCAGTCAGGTGACAGTAGACCGTGTATGACGTGAAGGATCTCTGATCAGAGAGAATTTGAACTGATCTGGTCTTCTCCCCAGCTGGCATGCTGCTGAAAGCTGAAGATACAGTATAGTCAAAATACCTCCGCTTACCAGCTACCCTACGGAGGGTGCAGCCAAAGGGAAACTCACAAATTAAGAAACAGGCTACCTGTACTCAGCTCTTGAAAGCAGCCCCCTTGCTGAGTGCTAAACCCAGTGGGGAACCTAGCTGTGCAAAGCCATAAACCTCTCCCCTCCAAGAAAATAATTCATCTCCTTCATCTGCTGAGAGAGGTGTGCAGCTCGGGTATAAGCCAGGCTTCCCAATAGATTTGGCATCTGGGAAGGGTGTTGCTTTCAGGAACTCAGCACATGCAACCTGGTTCCCCTCGGCCCTCATCTTCATCCACACAGAGGGTCTTCACATGTAACTACACCTGTGTGTTACAACTTGCGTTATTGTTATATTATTTGAAATTACTTTGAGTAATCTGTTTTTAATTGCTAAAAAGTATTTACTGTATGTTAATGTTTTAAAACTATTGTTACTATTTATTGTTTTAAATTTATTTAAAAACCACCCCGAGATCATCTGAGATAGGCCAGGATATAACTATTTTAATTAATTAATAAAATCACTGGACCCCACTAAATTCGACAACTATCGGCCAGTTTCCAATCTCCCCTTCTTGGGCAAAGTCTTGGAACGTGTGGTGGCCTCACAACTCCAGGTATTCTTGGTAGACACGGATTATCTAGACCCGGCACAGTCTGGCTTTAGGCCGGGACATGGTACCGAGACAGCCTTGGTCGCCTTAGTGGATGATCTGCACCGGGAGCTCGACAGGGGGAGTGTGTCCCTGTTGGTGCTGCTGGACCTCTCAGCGGCCTTCGATACCGTCGACCACGGTATCCTTCTGGGACGCCTCGCAGATGGGTCTTGGAGGTACTGTTTTGCAGTGGCTCCGGTCATTCCTGGAGGGTCGATCTCAGAAGGTGTTGTTGGGGGACACCTGTTCAACCCCACAACCATTGTCTTGTGGGGTTCCTCAGGGCTCAATATTGTCTCCCATGTTGTTTAACATCTACATGAAGCCGCTGGGGGAGATCATCCGGAGTTTCGGGGTACGGTGTCATCTGTACGCGGATGATGTCCAACTCTGTCACTCCTTTCCACCTGCTACTAAGGAGGCTGTCCAGGTCCTGAACCGGTGCGCCGCTGTGACGGTCTGGATGAGGGCGAACAAATTGAAATTGAATCCAGACAAGACAGAGGTACTCCTGGTCAGTCGCAAGGCCGAACAGGGCATAGGGTTACAGCCTGTGTTGGATGGGGCCGCACTCCCCCTGAAGATGCAGGTTCGCAGCTTGGGTGTGACCCTGGACTCATCGCTGAGCCTGGAACCCCAGGTTTCGGCGGTGACCAGGGGAGCATTTGCACAGCTAAAGCTTGTGCGCCAGCTGCGCCCGTACCTTGGGAAGTCTGACTTGGCCACGGTAGTCCACGCTCTGGTTACATCCCGTTTAGACTACTGCAACGCTCTCTACGTGGGGTTGCCTTTGAAGACAGCTCGGAAGCTCCAACTAGTCCAATGCTCGGCAGCCATGATTTTAACAGGAGCGGAGCGCAGGGAGCATACAACCCCCCTGTTGCGCCAACTCCACTGGCTACCGATCTGCTACCGGGCTGAATTCAAAGTGCTGGCGTTGGCCTTTAAAGCCCTAAACGGTTCCGGCCCAAGCTACCTATCTGACCGCATCTCTGCCTATGAACCCACCAGGAGTTTGAGATCTTCCGGGGACACCCTGCTCTCGATCCCGCCTGCTTCTCAAGCTCGGCTGGCGGGGACGAGAGATAGGGCCTTCTCGGTGGTGGCTCCTCGGCTGTGGAACGCCCTTCCTACGGACATTAGACTAGCACATCTCTAATGGTATTCCGCAAAAAGGTGAAGACCTGGATGTTTGTGCAGGCGTTTGAGTAATTTAGTGCAATCTGGTAATGGAACATAGGAATGGAACAATGGACGACGAATCTGGACTACGCTTGGATGATGAGAAGATTGGGTACGGTTGTTTTTTGTAATAATTGTGCATTGTAATTGCTTATTGGTAATTTATGGATAATGTGTTAAGTCAATTGTTATATGTTGTATGGAACCACTGCTGTTTCTACTGTTTCTACTGTTTGTGAACCGCTGTGAGTCGCCTTCGGGCTTGAGATACAGCGGTATATAAGCAAAGTAAATAAATAAATAAATAAATAAATAAATTGTTAAATACATCTAAGTATTGTTAATGTTAATATGGGAGTTCAAAATGTGTTTTTTCTCTTATCTTGATAAATGTATAAAAATGCTTATGGGAAATTACATGAATAATTCTGTCCATGTTGTGGGTTTCTTTTGTGGTAACTTTTTGAGAGATTACATAATTATTGTGTATTTTAAAGGTACTGATTTGCAAAATCAAGAAACCAAGTTCAAGAAATTCAAGCATTGAATTTCTCATAAGAAACGTGAGAATTAAACTTTCAGTGTGTGTGCATCTGAGGAATTCTTAGTATTGTCGAAGGCTTCATGGCCGGAATCACTAGGTTGCCGTGAGTTTTCCAGACTGTATGGCCATGTTCCAGAAGCATTCTCTCCTGACATTTTGCTCACATCTATGGCAGGCATCCTCAGAGGTTGTAAGGGCAATACAGCCCAGAAAACACGGCAACCTAATTCTTGGTATTTTTTCACAATGCCAAAATTTTGATTCCTCCCTCTTACTGACACCAAAACCTCTACTTTTCTTTTGCCAATGTGTTGCTGAAACCTTGTGGCTGTACTTGTTCCTTAGGAGATTGATCCCAGCTTAGGTGTGGCTGAACTTCCTGATGAGTTCTTTGAAGAGGATAACATGCTGAGCATGGGCAAGAAAATGATGCAAGAGGCAATGAGTGCTTTTCCTGGGATTGATGAAGCCATGAGCTATGCTGAAGTGATGAGGTGAGAAGAACAGTGATCTGTGGTGCCCTCCCCCCTCCCCAGCTTGTTTGTTTTGGAAAGCAGAAAGTCAAACTCTGGGTGTCTTCACTGTGGGAAACTAAGTTAGCAGAGATGAAAAAAAATGTTTTCTGTAGGTATATTCCATCATGGTAAGTGGGGGTTTTGTACAAGCGCACATTTTTCATAATTGTGTGAGGTGTGCATTTGACATGCACTGGACCAGTCAGCACTTAGAACCATAGAGTCGGAGGAGACCACAGGCACCATCCAGTCCAACGCCGTATTGCCATGGAGGAATATATAATCAAAACACTCCTTACAGATAGCCATTCAGCCTCCGTTTAAAAACCTCCAGGAAAAGAGACTCTTTTGGGAAGGGCATGACTTTTTAGAGACATAACCTTTTGGAAAACCAGAATCTCCATAGCCATTTGGAAGCATGACCCTTTTTGGAGAGCAATTGACATTCACACTATTTAGAATAATCATAACCCCTTTGTAAAGTATGATCTTCCTGAGAAGAGTTAAATGCTCGTTTGAGTGAATCTTCTCCTTAGTAGTAAATATCCATTAGTATTCATGCAAGGCAATTTAGGTTTCTCATCTGTTAGACTGATATCCCTGGTTTTCTCTTTGAACTGTTAAGAACAAAAATATGCCAATGCATAAAATATATAGTAGATCTTCAGAAGTGTTATTTCAGTTGCCCAAAATAAAATCTTCTCTCCCATAAAATATATTTATTTTAAATCATGCTCTCAAGAGACCAAAACATCAGTAGTCTTCGTTAAAAGGTAACATAGTTGATTTACTCACAAACATCATGTATTCAGCATACAAGTACATTGCTTATTGGTTCAAAGTTTATCAATCTGTTCTCTAAAACATTCTGTTTTAGTCTTTTCTTTGTTACATACAGACAAGCATTCTCTTTAGTCTAATAATTACTGAACATTGACTAAGTAAAGACTAACTATCCACTGCAGCATACTGACACTGACTGATTTCTAAACTGTACTGCTTCTGAGGTAAAATATACTTAGTGACTCTGAGGTAAAAATGGCTTCCAAAATGGAGACTCAGTCTGAATAGTCCCAGTTCTGGTCACATGGTCTGAGGTCCCTCCCACAACCTCAAACAACATAGAGTTAAGGGGGAAACTGCATACCACTATATACATACAATATAGTAAGCAATCACAATTATATTCATACCAAATACTAGTATAGGAGGCTTGTAGAAGGTTGCTATTTCCAGCATAATCCACCATACTCTTGAGGCAGCATGTACCACTATCAAACACTCTTATTATCAGGACATTTTCCTAGTGCGTATGTGGAATCCCTTTTTCCTGTAGTTTGAATCCATTACTTTATGACCTAGGCCTCTTCTACACTGTCATATAAAATCCAGACTATCTGCTTTGAACTGGATTATATGGCAGTGTAAACCCATATAATCAGTTCAAATAAGATAATCTGGATTATCTGTTTAGATAATCTGGATTATATGGCAGTGTAGAAGGGGCCCTAGTTTCTGGATCAGAAGAAAACAAGATTGCTCCCTCCGCAGTGTGACATCCTTTCAGATTTTTAAACCTGGTTTATCATGTCCCCCCTTAATCTATCACAACATAAATTCACAACATAGATTTTGTTGTGTCCAATATGAACTCCACATAAATTTTTCCTCACAGACCTAAGCAACCACTAGCACTCATCAAACATAGCAGCTATAGAGAAGTAGAGAAAAACCTAAGGATGGGACAAGATCTTTACTGTGTGTAGTATCACTTCATTTATAATACACAAATAGTGAAAAGTGTAGTGATTTGTGCATTGGACTATGACTCTGGAAACCAGGACTTGAAACATCACTCAGCTACTAGGTTTCCTTGGGTATGTCACTTTCTCTCAACCTTGGAGGAAAACAAAGGCAAAACCTACCAAGAAATCCCCGTAATAGGTTCATTTTAAGTTTGCCATAAGTTGGACATGAATTGAAGGCTCACAAAAACTGCAAGGGTTATGCCATAAAGAATTTCTGTTTCACACTCTCAGGAATCCTTTCTAAAACATTTGCTTTGTAAGATGAAGAGTTGCAGATGGAGCTCCATAAACGGCTGTGCCGTTAGGAATAATAGGCATAGGTAGGCCCTTCTTTGTTTATCAGATTTCCGAGGCTGTTAATGATGTGTTTTTCTTTTCTCTCTTTGGCCTATATAGGTTGGTGAAAGGGATGAATTTTTCTGTGGTGGTGTTTGACACAGCGCCCACTGGGCACACGCTCAGGCTACTCAACTTTCCCACCATCGTGGAGAGAGGACTGGGCCGCCTGATGCAGATTAAGAATCAGATCAGTCCCTTCATATCCCAGGTAAAAGGGGAGAAGAGCAAACAACAAGAGTTTCCCTGTTAATAATGCCGTGTTGTCTTTTTATTTATTTTTTTAAACGCTTCATCTTTTATCACGTTGAGGCTCCTGCCTAGGCTCTTTTACCTGCAGTGTTGTACATTAAACATAGATTTGTGATCTGCTTTCTGATGGAAAATAGACTTCATTGTGGATCCTTTTTTCTTTTTTCTTTTTTTGTTCTTTATTAGATGTGTAACATGCTTGGCCTGGGAGACATGAATGCTGACCAGCTGGCATCCAAGCTGGAGGAGACCCTTCCTGTCATCCGCTCAGTCAGTGAGCAGTTCAAAGACCCGGCAAGTATACTGCCAAGTAGGAAGGGTTGGATGAAGGTGGACTCAAGCTGTACAGCACCACAGTATAAAATGGAAAAATGTTTTTCAACCTCGTCATTTTATCGGGTTGAGCATCAGTTAAACATAAGGTTGCTATATAATAAACTAATAATAATAATAATAATAACAACAACAACAATAACAATGAACTTTATTTCTATCTCTCCCTATCTCCCGAAAGGGACTAAGGGTAGTTTTTATATATTTTCTATCTTTTCTGTTTACTTTTGCACAAGTCCCTTAAATGAGCTTCTAAAAATGTTATGTCAATAGCCTTTCATCCATTGGAGGCTTCCGCTGCATCCAGTCCATTGGGAACACTGCATCTGTTACTGTATGCCTGTATACAGGGAATTTTCACAGGACTGAGTACCAGCTCCAATGCTAGCAAAGTTAGAGCCCAAATTAGAGGAAATCTTGTGCTTAGTGAAGCCCTGGTGTTGTGGCTTTTTCCCTCATGTGTAACAACTGCTTCACAGAGGCTTTTGCTTAACTAAACAGCAGTAATGTTCCACCCAAATTCTAAAAGATAACTGCTTTAAAAACCTTTACTTGTGTTAATATGTATTGTTCTTTGCTGTGGTATTCTTTCTGATTTATGGTTACTATAATACAAGGGAAAAATATTTGAGACAGGCGTTGCCTTTGCCTTATTCTGAAGCTGAGAGTGTGTGACTAGCCTAAGGTTGTCTGTTCAGTTTTCCACAGCAGAGAAGGGGCTTCAAACACTAATATGTAGAGTTGTTATTTTGTGGTCAGACTACCACACCATGCATGGTACTTTACAGCATCACATTTTTTTTAAAAAAAAGAATACCTTTATCTAAAAGTGTAGGTCATTATTTCTCTGACGGTCTGATGTGGGAGGCAATTTCTCCCTCAATGTGCTCAGGGTTGATACCATACTTGTACATGTTACAATTGTTTCTTTCATAGAAACTTGCCAGGGACTGGAACTGGTCCAGCAATGGTGTAAAATAGATTTGTGACAGTAGGAGGAGACAATAGATGGCTGCAAGTAAATACTATTTTTTAGGTTTAATTCATAAACACATTACATATTTATTTGAGTGTTTTACCTGACCTTCTCAAACTGTAGTAGCAGTCTAGCTGCAAACAGAATCCTCCAATAAAAATGAGGCTGTTATGCCTCAGAAGAAATGAGACCTCGAATGAACAGTTCTGGTTTTGGATTATTAGGGACTAGGTCAAGATCCTTATGAGATGGGCAAGAATCACACAAGCTCTATGTGGGGTGTGATGTTCAAAATAGATTTGGCAGGTTCAAAAGGAATGTCCCCCATTCCAAATCTTTGGTCCAAAATATGAATTGCTGCTCCTGGAAGCCCTTGAAAATTCCCCTGGGAGTTAGACTCAGGGCTTATTTTGGGGAAATGGGCTAGTTCTGAAAAATGTGGCATGTGGTGGATCCCTGTGAGGTACACTTTCCGCCTGGACCTGCCAAACTTGCCTCCATGCTTCAAGAAGATATCCTTATTTAAAGCATTTTTACCCTGCCCTTCATCCAAACATTCTTCCAAAGCACCTCATAGGTTGTTAATTCGCCAATTTCCTGTTCTCAGGCTTACAATTTATAATGGCATGAAACACAAGGAAAAGACTAAACTATGCCTGTCCAAAGTACCAGTGAGTTTGCATTATAAATGTTAGTTGGGCTATCCATTCATAGTAGCTCCTTTTATAAAATCAGTTAATACATGACAGAGGACCCATATAGTAAAAATGTAAAAGTAAAGGTTTCCCCTGACATTAAGTCCAACTCTGGAGCAGGGGGAGGGTGCTCATCTCCATTTCTAAGACAAAGAGCTGGCATTGTCCATAGACACCTCCAAGGTCATGTGGCTAGCATGACTGTATGGAGCACCATTACCTTCCCACCATAGCAGTACCTATTGATCTACTCACATTTATATATTTTCAAACTGCTAGGTTGCCAGAAGCTGGGGCTAACAGCGGGAGCTCACCCTGCTTCCCAGATTCAAACCAACAATCTTTTGGTCAGCAAATTCAGCAGCTCAGTGGTTTAACCTGCTGCACCACTGGGGGGGGGGGGCTGTATAACACAGTATATCAATTCTGGTCACTTTGGCCCTCCGTGGGGGGGGGGGTGTCTTTGTCCTCTAGCAGCTGGTTTGGACGTCTGATGTTTGAATTTTGCTGGAGTTGGGCCCACAAATTAGAAGATGGGTACCCCTCCAGATATTCTTCTACTGCAGCCTCCATCGTCCTCCACTTTTGGTTGGGCTCTTCAGGGCTGATGGGAGAATCAGACCAATAGCACTTGGAGGCTACATATGCTCAGCCCTCACCTGGAGGGAGGGAAGATAAAGCTTCAGCCTTTTGGGCAGTCTTTGAATCTGATTGTAAAATCTGATGCACATCCAAGGCAACTGTACTGGTTCTTGCACATTCTTTTCTAACCAAAGTGCTCCAAGGCTGCTGTGAGAGCTGACATTTGCAAGGCAAAGGAGCAGGACTTTGGGATTGCATGCCTCCTGGCCATGCTTGTAGCAGTGCCTCAGCTAGAATGGGCCATCTGCAAACCAATCAGCTTCAAAAGTCTGTTAGGCTTCTCTTTGGAAAATGCTGCAAACTTTTTAAATCTTCATGAATATTCTTTCCTTGAGAATAGTAGCTTCTTTCTCTTTTTTATAATCTGAAATGCATCTCCCGGACCACTGTTTTAGCACATATTTCCCCATAGAAGTATGTTACAGAAAAGCAGTAGGCCCCCATGCTGTTGCAACAAAGGCATTTACTGTATCTTTTGTAGGAAAGCTCTCTGGAACTTAATATTTTGCTTCTAGGTTGTGAACTATCTTTTAATAGAAGTGTTCTTTATTCTGAAAGAGGATTGTCACCTACACCTGCATGCATGAGATTGTGACCTGGCTGATTAATTATTTGGATTTTTCCTCATAAAGATGGAAAGGACTTTAAAGGAAAGAAGGTGCACCATCAAATCCTCCTCCACAATATATGTGGTTGTAAGGTCTTGCATGGGCTGCAAAATCTGCCATTTATTAATGGGTTGGTGCTTAATATGCAACTGCATGTATTACAGTTAAAGCACTATATTCATATGAGAGCTCTGGTTGGTTACTTTTTTGCAATACAGGACCCAGGATTCCCTGATCAGCTTGGTCAGTGCTGGATGATTCTGGGAATAGTAATTATAAAAATGGCAAAACTGATTTATTTGAATTAGAAATTAGCATTAAGTGAATCTATCTTAAATGAGGAGAGCTAAGTAATTTGCAGGCAGTCCATTGCCTAATACCTTTGGTGATTAACTAATTACCACAGGTGACCAAATGAGTCTCTAGATTTTGTTATGGGGATCTAAACTCCTATTCACCCTTAAAATGAAATCTTCACGGCTGGAAGAAAAAGGTAGCTTTGGGTCATATGTTTTTATGTACCTTCAGTTGACCTTTCCACTTAGCACTATCCCATGAATTTCATAGGGCTTTTTCATAGATGGTTTTGCCTGTTCTATCTTCTGAAAAATAGCCTACAGCACCTTTTTTTCAATGGTGGTCTGCTATCCAAGTACTAATCAGGAATGACTCCATTTAGCTTCCAAGATCAGATGGAATCTGGTGCCTTTGAGGTATTTAGGCCATCTATTCCTGGTCCTGCCTTTTTTCTCTCCCCTTTCCTTCCTGCAAATAAAATGAGAGGGATGTCACGGGGACTAGAAGCTGCCTACATGCTGTGCTTTATCTCTGATTTAAAATGCAGGGAAGAATAGCCATGGGTCTAGCTTGAGCACCTCCTTCTCTGCACCTCTGGTGATGAGACAGTGCCATATATAAAGGCTCATATATGGCGCCACTAATATATCTTGACAGGGGGGCAAACAGATCCCACCAACTGTCCCAGTAATATAAAGAATTCACTGGCACCAATATAAAGGTTATGAGGGGATGTCTCTCTAATTAACGTCCGCTGCCACCAACACTGAAATGTACAGGAACACCCTAGCTGTTTAAAATATTAAAAATGCGTTTTAAGACCACCAAGCACTGTGTCTTCTTTTCCTTCTTTAAAGGAAAACAGTTGAGGTTGGAAAGGGACTATAGCCACAAAAGGCACACTTGACTCAGGCTTTTTGAGTTTTAAAATAAACAAGGAAAGTTTATTGATAAAAAAATACAGAAGAGAATAAATGCTGGTTGAAATCTTGGCTGTTACATAGAAATTCTGGTTTGTGTTCAAAGCGTAATGGTTACATGTAATGGCTCTTTCTTTGTTACAGATACAGAGATTTTCTTCCCTTTAACAACAAGTACACTTGACAGGAGCTGAATCTCTGTCAAGATACAACTGTAGCTTAGCTACCCTAAACTGTGGCCTAGCTAACTACAAACCAGCTATCTTTCCCTGATAGCTGTCCCAGTTTGCTACAGCTTCTTTTGCTGGCAAACCTAAGGTAAACTGCCTTCTCTTAACTAATCTTAAACACGAACTCCTAAACTACCTTCCTACTCTAATCTCTAACAACAACAGACTCCCTGAAAAAGCCCTCTTTCTTTCCCTCCAAACCTTGCTAAACTCCGCCCCCTTTTCTGAACCAATCCTGGCTGTTCTAATGCTAACTCAGGCCTAGGACACTCCCCCTCTCTAAAATGGTGTTTGCCCTGAACTAAAATGGCTCCTGCTGCTTTCTGCCAGGCCCACTAAAGCTGCAACTAACTGGCCTGATTCTCCTAGGCCCTGCCATCCAGGCTGGCAAGGTAAGGGATCTTTACACCATACTGTTAATTTTTCAGCCAATCTTTTAAACAGGGGGATACAGAGACAACCATGGAGTATGTACACATTGTGTACAGTTTCTCAGCCTCCTATACACTCCCAAATTTCTTCCACAATATATTTCCCCATTCTTCAGATAGAGGGGACACTTGTAAAGAAAATAGACTGGAGAGACAGGTAATTGTAGAACAGGAGAGGAGAGGAAACACGTCTGCTATATGGCCCATAGTTTTGTTTTCTGCCCCTGAAAAGGAGGTAAAATCAAGGGAGGAAAATAATAGACAGACAGATGGTGATTCTATGTGATCTCACTTATAACTCTGAATTAATCTTCCTGTTTCTCCTCCTCAGGAGCAAACCACATTTATCTGTGTCTGCATTGCTGAGTTCCTATCTCTGTATGAAACAGAACGGCTCATCCAGGAGCTGGCCAAGTGCAAAATCGACACGCACAACATTATAGTCAATCAGTTGGTCTTCCCTGACCCCGAGAAGCCCTGCAAGATGTGTGAGGCACGGCACAAAATCCAGTCCAAATATCTTGACCAGGTATGATTGGGGGCAGTTCTAATTTCCCACCATCCATTTATGGGGATGGAGCAGGGTTAAACTACTTTAGATTGAAAGAAGGGTGTTATTATGTGAGAAAGGATATACCAATGGTTCATTTTGACTAAATGGGTGCAGAAAACTGAGAGGATATAACCACCAGAGAGAAAATGTAATGCCTTTAGATTAGATAACATAGATTGTTTGTAGTTATTGGTTTTTTATGCTTAGGATGTAGTAGTAAAAATAAAATTAAAAAGAATCTAAAGCACAGGTCCAGCTACCTGTGTGTGGTCTACTCAAATCAAGCAACAGTTCTCTGATACAACCCTTTTAAGATCTGCTATCCCTTTGTGAGTGGAATTGCCAAGAGATTGACTTCCGGTAATTAAACTTGCAGTCTGTTGCATGACCTGAGCTGTGCCCACATTACTTTTTCCATTGAATTGCATTTTGATCAAGTTAGGGTCATTCTTATTTTATTTTTGCCTTCAGCCTGTAGATTCCTTTCCCAAAACATTCCCAATCCTAGTGTCATGGCTAATTGATTGTCACTGCAAAAATCCATGTATCTAAAACTGGACGTGGCAACTGGGTAGCTGAAGGCGGCAAGAAGCAGATTTCTTTTCCTGTTTATGCTGCTGTTTGTGGGGTTTAGTGCTTTGTTTGTTCCATTTGATGTGGAAATTCTTTTTTTCCTTATTATTATTATTATTATTATTATTATTATTTATTATTAACTTTATTTGTACCCTGCTAGCATCTCCCGCAGGACTCGATGCGGCTTACACAGGCCGAAGCCTCAACACAATACAATAAAAACATAACACAACACTAGCATCTCCCGCAGGACTCGATGCGGCTTACACAGGCCGAAGCCTCAAAACACAATACAATAAAACATAGCACAATAATAGACAAAGCAAATCAAACAATTAAGCAAAATAACAACAATAACTACATCAAGACACTATTAAAACTGGTTCGGCCAGCGCAATGGGGTACAGGGGTTAAAATGCTGAAATGGCAGGAGGAACGTAGGATTAGAGGTGTGGTGTGCAGTAACATCGGTTGTGCTAAAGTGCTTCTAGAACTTGGGATGGGGATTCCTAATCTGAGAAGGCACATCGGAACAGCCAGGTTTTTAGGTTCCTTCTGAAAACTGCTAAAGTAGGGGCCTGTCGGAGATCTTTTGGAAGGGCATTCCAAAGTCGGGGGGCCGCCACAGAGAAGGCCCTGTCCCGTGTCCCCACCAAGTGCGCTTGCGACGTGGGTGGGATCACGAGCAGGGCCTCCCCAGATGATCAGAGTGAGCGTGTGGGTTCGTAGATGGAGATGCGGTCACGCAGGTAGGGTGGTCCCAAACCGTTCAGGGCTTTGTAGGTGAGCACCTGCACCTTGAATTGTGCTCGGAAAATAAATGGCAGCCAGTGGAGCTCCTTAAACAGAGGGGTAGACCTCTCTTGATAATGAGCCCCAGTTAGCATCCTGGCTGCTGCCCGCTGGACCAATTGAAGTTTCCGAGCCGTCTTCAAGGGCAGCCCCACGTAGAGCGCATTGCAGTAATCCATTCTAGAGGTGACCAAGGCATGGACCACCCCGGCCAGATCTGCCTTCGCGAGGTACGGTCGCAGCTGGCGCACAAGTCTCAATTGTGCAAAGGCCCTCCCGGATACCGCCGACACCTGAGCCTCAAGTGTGAGCGAGGAATCCAGGAGGACGCCCAAACTGCGGACCTGTGGCTTCAGGGCCTCAAGTGTAAGCAAAGAATCCAAGAGGACACCCAAACTGCGGACCTGTGGCTTCAGGGGGAGTGTAACCCCGTCCAACACAGGTTGCCACCCTATACCCCGATCCGGTTTACGATCGACCAGGAGGACCTCTGTCTTGTCAGGATTGATCTTCAGCTTGTTCCTCCTCATCCAGATCGACACAGTGGCCAGGCACTCGTCCAGCACCCGAGAGGCCTCCTTGGAATTAGGTGGAAAGGAGTAGTAGAGTTGTGTGTCATCCGCATAAAGATGGCACCCAACTCCAAAACTCCGGATGACCTCTCCCAGCGGTTTCATGTAGATGTTGAAAAGCATGGGCGACAAAATAGAGCCTTGCGGGACCCCACAGGTCAAAGGCCAGGGGTCAGAGCAGGCGTCTCCCAGCTTCACCATCTGGGTTCCCCTCCAGGAAGGACCGGAGCCACGACAAAACCGCGCCCCCGAGGCCCATCCCAGAGAGACGACCCAGAAGGATACCATGATCGATGGTATCGAAAGCCGCTGAGATGTCCAAGAGAACCAACAGAGTCACACTCCCCCTGTCCAGCTCTCTGCGGAGGTCATCCACCAAGGCGACCAAGGCTGTCTCGGTGCCATGACCAGGCCTGAAACCAGACTGTGACTGATCTAGGTAGTTGGTATCGTCTAAGAAGCTCTGGAGCTGGGAGGCGACCACCCGCTCCAGCACCTTACCCAGAAAAGGAAGGTTGGAGATTGGCCTGTAATTACTCAGCACCGTGGAGTCAAGGGAAGCTTTTTTGAGGAGTGGGCGAACCACGGCCTGTTTCAGATTGGATGGAAAAATCCCTTGCTCCAGCGATGCATTGACAATCAACACAAACCAATCAACCAACCCCTCCCTGGCTGATTTAATGAGCCAAGATGGGCATGGGTCTAGAGGTGAGGTGGTCGCCCTCACAGCCCCAAGAACCTCCTCTACGGTTTCAGGAAGAACAAGCCTAAAAGAATCCCACAAGGATGGACAAGCAGGTGCCTCCGTCACCTCTTCTGGCACTGCGATGGAATTGGAGTCGAGCTCGAGGCGTATCTGAGCGACTTTACCTGCAAAATGGTGTGCGAAATCGCGACACCGAGCTGCTGGGTCATCAGTGACCTCCTCCACCACAGGTGGGTGGAGGAGTTCCCCCCCGACCCGAAACAGCTCCGATGATCTATTTGCTGCAGACGCTATATGGGCCACTCGTATAGCCACGGAGTATGCTCTAAGAGGCCCTAGCCCGTGCTCGATCAGATCCCGAGATTTCCTCCACTTGCGCTCTAGCCCCCTTCTCGTATGCTTCATCCCAGCCAGCGCCCCGGTGAACCAGGGAGATGGCCTGTCACGACGCAACGAGATGGGGCGTTCGGGTGCGATCGTATCTATCGCCCTGGACATCTCCCCATTATAGAGAGTTACCAAGGCGTCGATAGAATCGCCAGGCTCCAAGGCAGGAAGAACCCCAAGATTCCTCAGGAATCCGTCCGGATCCATCAGTCTCCTAGGGCGGACCATTTTAATCTGTCCTCCACCCCTGCGGAGGTTAAGAGTCGCAGCAAGTCTAAAAGTGATCAGATAATGATCAGACCATGACACCGGAAGGATGTTTTGATCTTCCACTCTAATCATTTCGTTGTCCGCCACGAAAACAAGGTCAAGAGTATGTCCAGCTTGATGAGTGGGACCAGATATTATCTGTGACAGTCCTATGGTCGTCATGGTGGCCATAAAGTCCTGAGCTGCGCCAGATAGGGTGGTCTCAGCGTGGATGTTAAAATCTCCCAGCACCACCAGGCGCTGGGAAACCAAGGCCGAATTGGAGACCACCTCCGCTAGCTCAGACAGGGAAGCTGCTGGGTCGCGGGGTGGGCGGTACACCAGCAGGAACCCCACACTGTCACGGCCCCCCACTTTCAAGTGGACACACTCGAACCCAGAAGCCTGCGGAACAGCGCATCTGATCACGGCGATGGATTGCCGAAAGACTACTGCCCCCTCCTCCCCGCCCCCTTTGTCTGGCCTGCTGATGCACTCCAAAGCCTGGTGGGCACAGCTGAGAGAGATTTACTCCCCCCAGCTCGTCCAACCAGGTCTCGGTAATGCATGCCAGATCCGCCCTCTCATCCAGGATCAAGTCCTGGATGGCCGCAGTCTTACCATTAACGGATCTGGCATTAATCAGCAGGACCTTAAGACCAAGGGGACTGCCGTGGAGCCTACCACTACCCACCTTCTCCAGGGTCGCAAGAACTCTGTTGCGCTTCTCCCTGGGATGTTGGTGACCCACTATTCTCCTCCCCCACACGACTTGATGGCACCCCCTTCCTCCGGACCCCTCCCCCCCCACATGGCCAGGATATGTAACTAGTCAGCTCTCAGAGGAGGAAGTCGGGCTGGGGAACAATCTCCCTTGGGCGTTGGGTAGAGATGTTTCTGATGATGAGGTAGATAGTGAAACATCAAGGGAGCTGAGTGGACTGAATAAGGGAAGTGTTCTCGAGCGAGGGAGTGTAGCTGGTTGAGTGGGGGCGACCAGGACAGATGGGGTCTCAAAGTGATACGAACCAGGAGGGGGGGCCCTAACCGGTGAGCTAGTTGTGGATGCACGGGGACCTGATGGAGTATGGCAAGAAGGAACCCCGGAGGCAAATAAGGGGCGTATCTGAGGGTCCACAACTACCCTCCTAATGGTAATGCCCCATTTCTTTAAATCAAAGCGCTTTGCCAAGAGCTCTCCGAGTCATGAATTGTCTTCTGGTGTTATTTGAAGACGGGAGGAACGGTCAGATGATTGGTAGTCCCTCCATAACCACACTATGGCCTCTAGTCTTATATCCTGTGGCCTTTTACCCAGGATTTGGGCCAAGGAGTTACAAACTGCCCTCTTAGAGGTCCATCTGCCTCTGTTTACCATTTGGTCAGCAATGTCCACCGCGAACATGTCAGTTTGTAGATGATGATCCTGAGTACAGGCTGCGGTTGGCTGAACCAAAAGATCTGTTGTTGTATTATTGATCGTCCTCTGAGCGGTCATCACAGACCGCTGCCACTCCACGATGTTCTCAATCCTATGACTGCCCAAGGATTCTCCCCTTCCCTCAGTCAACTCATCATTCATTCCTCGTTCAGTCCCCAAATCCCCAAGATCCGACGTGCCTTTCTCCCCATTTTGGCACAAGTCCTTAGCCAGATCTGCACACAAAGGGTTATCAGTCTTTGGGGGACAGGATTGCACTGGAATTCCTGAGAAAGAGGCAAAGCCTCTAAGGAGGTGGTCCATTTTCTCGTTTAAAAACCTTAATGCTTGATTCTGATTTTATTCAACCACCATTTTTAATAGATAATTTTAGATCAATAGGAGGGGAAGTCTTGTCACAGGAATCAGTACTTACATAGAATACACATGTACATGTTCATGGCTTCTGTGAATTTGATTATAGACTTTAGATCTGCCATTGGGTTAGAATCATGAGAGGGCTTCCTCTAATAATGCTGTTCAGAAAGCATTCTCAGTGTTGCATGTGGTAGATTTTCCAACCAACAAGGCACAAAATGTGTCAGTGAAAGCTGTTTTTGATTCTTTTGGCTGGGCTCCTATGAAAGCGTTTGTGAGTGTTAGGTTCTCCTTTGAGTGATGTTGTGCTCTTTCCTTCTCCTTCCAGATGGAAGACCTCTATGAAGACTTTCACATTGTAAAGCTGCCCCTTTTGCCCCACGAAGTCCGAGGGGCTGACAAAGTGAACACCTTCTCAAGTCTGCTGTTGGAGCCGTACAAGCCCCCCAGTGCAAAATGAAGCCCCACAGACTGGTTTCCCTGCCCCACCCTCTCCGCCTTTCCATTCCACGCCAGCCCTTCCCTGCCTCTTCTCTGCTGGAGCTCTGCCCTTCCAGGGGCCTCTCATCTTTCTAAAGTGTGTGGTTGACAGGCTTGTGGTGGGGTTGGAAGAGGCAGCATGTGTCGTTCATACTTAGTTCTGTATACCTAACTCCTTGGGACCCCTCCCCACCCCACCCCAGCCAGCCACAGTGTTGAATCCATCCCCCCGCCCCCTCAATTAACCAACTAGCTAATTTAAACTTGGGTCCATCTCTTTTCTAAATTTCTGCCACTGATATCTTCCTGGATCATGTCTCTTGGGGCTGATGCTGTTGCGGCTGAAATCCCAATCAGGTGCTTCAATAACACAGAGACTGTCAGTCCACTTACAACACTAAGGCCATCACTACTAATGGGAAGTATGTAAATAAAGTACAAGGGAATTAAGTTAGCTGCCGCTTGTCTAACCAGACTCGTTTCATTTGTACCAGAAATTTCTGTAGTGGTTGGAAGAACACTTAGAAGTTCTACTGGGGTGGTCTTTGCCAACACAGAAAAATAAAACCTCTAGGAAAGTTGTTACCTGCTTTAAAGATTACTTGGTTTGTAGCAGGTTTGGAAGATCTATCAACTCCTCGCATGCAGCTTCCCTCAGGAATTTTTGCAGCCCTCACCAGCATAACCACCAACTCGACTGGAGTCATGTACCTTATTCAAATATAGGAGCCCATTTCTAGAAGTGCAATGCTATTTAATAAAAGAGATGTGCAAGTTGTTTTGCCACTGCTACCCTCGCAATTCTGAGAGTGGGGTTGTAGGCACTAGTGTTTATTTGGGGGAGGAGGGATTCAACCCCCTCTCCCAAGTTTCCCAGTCCTGATTTAAAGTTATGGAAAGATTAGGAATGAGGCTACCTCATGCTGCTGGTCAGCTTTTCACACTGGAAAGTAGAGGTATGGGCTTGAATAGAGGTATCAATATTGGAAGGAAAAACACAGGTCCCTAAGACTTTTGGAGGTGTACATAGATAATTTTTCTAATGCCTTGGACTCTTTGCACCCTTTTTGCAAGGGATAACAGTATTAACATTTCATAGCATGCAAAATCTGACGTGTGCATAGAAACATCCGGTCGCAAAAGAGACTACTGGGAAAAGATGCATTGAAGATGTGGTTCCAGTGCAGTAGTCTGTGGCAGAACTGGAACTACTGCATATAGGGTCAGTAACTGGATTTTGCCAGTGTCTCTGTGTGATCTAGTATTTGAAAACTAGTCTGTTTTAGGGCAGACTAGGTGAGGCAATAGCTAAAAAGAGTGAAAGAACATCTTATGGGGGCACAATATGGGTAGCCATTGGCACAATAGTTCTGCCAGCAGTGGTTTTTGATTGGGGAAACGTGCTTTCTTCACACTGCATAGCTTAGCCTCCTCCTTTGCATGGCTTACCATAAAAAGGCTTTAAACTGTATCCCAGAAAGGCCAGGACTATGGCCAGAGTTTTGCCCAACCTGAGCAGCTCTGGTTCTCTCTACTTCCATTCCTTTGCCCGTTCCAGGGGCAAATGCAGTGAAGCCCCTTTCCTTCTCTCTTACAATTTTAACAGTTGCAGAACAAATAATTTGTTGCATCTTTAAAAAAGATAGTAAAAAGAATTAGAGTTACTCACAAACTGTCAGTCTTTTGGGTGGTTCCTTAGCAAGTCCAACAAGTTGCTCTTACGGTTAGAGCCCTCCAAAGGCACCCTTACAATTTGACTGTAATGCAAGTTGTAAAAATCAACACACGAATGAATTGCAATTCTGAATATTTCTTGGGGGCTGTATGACATGTTTTTTGTGAAGTTAATATATTTTGTATGTAAGCCAGTGTGTTAGAAGCATGTACTGTACAATGTAATATATTTTATTTAGTATTCCCAGTGGGAGGAGGCAACTTTGTCTTTTCAAAAATAACATATATTTAAGCAGAGCTGTGCTTGCAGGTGCAGCACAGCTCAGTGGCAAAGCACTAAAAGCAGACTAAGTTTCTGGAAAATCACAATGGGTAGGGAAGAAGATAAGCAATTGCTTAACATTGGATATGTAAAGCATGACGTTTTGGTCGGCTGCTCCAGGACAGAATGCTCTGGCAGCGGGTAAATCTTCCACGAGAAGTAAATCTTGTAAAATAAAACCTTCCTCAAACAATCTAGCAAATTAAAATTTCTTGGTGGGAAGGTCATTTATGGTAATTGAGCTGTGTTTATATTCTCTAAACTCCAGTTAACTCATGTCCAAATAATCATTATTTATATTATGAAGATTCTTGTCCCATCCAAACAAGAAAACATGACAGAAAGCACGATTGACATGCCAAGGGCCCTGCAATATATTTAAAAAGGACCTCCAGTTCACTTCTGATCTTGCCAACTGAACTTCCATTTGAGCCCAAGGTTTTTGGGGAGAACAAAAATGGAGTAACAAATCTTGATCTCAACTTCCCAGCTTTAGGCAAAAATTGGTTCTCTAATCAAACATGTAACCCCGTTTTTAAGCTTATGGCAAAGGAATTCCCCTTCCTGAGTTAAGGCTAGAATAATAATCTCTCTAACTCAGGGTCTCTTCTCTGAGCATTTTCCAAAGCTATATTTATTCATTTTCAGTATTAAAAAGGAGGAAATTATCTGGTGGCACTTTTGAAGATCAACAATTTGAGTATAAGATTTCACAGATTACAGCCTTTTGAGAGGAAGTTGTCCCCTGGATAAACATTGAAGGATATGAAACTGACTACCTCATCACACTAAAGAATGAATCCACTTTAAATCCAGTTGCTGCTTCTGGCAGAATTCTGGGGTTTGTAGTTTAGGGAGGAGCCTTTAACAGCCGCACTACACTACAAACCCCAAAATTCTGCAGGAGGCAGAAACCAGATTTAAAGTGGATTCATTCCCTAGTGTGATGAAGTGCTTAATAGAAATGAAAAAGGTGCTGATATGATGGTGGGAGTGACAACTGCAGGTCTTTTTTAATTGTTGTTATAAAAAACATCAGTGGGTTACTAATACAGCCAAACATTGATGAGCAGGTAGATATATGTATTCTACAGATAATGTTTAAGGCAAGTCAAAAGGCAGAGATGCCCTATGGATGCACTCAGCTGAGGTGGATACAAAATTACAGCTGTGAAAAGTTGTCCATCCAGTGCCATAAAACGCAGCAATGATGATCTGGAGATACAGAAAAAGACACTTAAAACGCCATAAACCTTGAAAGCCCTGGTTTAGCATAACTGACCTCTGCAAGCTAATGGTCAGGTACACTCAATTGCTAGGCTTTTAATTGTCTCTGAGGTTAGAAGGAAATGCATAATGCTGGTAGGAAAGTTGGTTCTCCTGAAAGCAGAGAAATGTTTTGAGGATATCTGTTGCATATAGAAACTGTAAGGAAAACCAGCGTGTGCTAAGCATCCATTATTTCTGTTCAAACCTCTACTGACAGATTGGGATTCCAATTATATTGTATCCCTTTTCAGTCCCTCATTGAAATTGTTTTGCCCAACAGCAGTCACTTGAGAAGATTGATAATCCTCCTTGGGACACTTACTTGAGGATCTTGGCCTTTCTGACCTGGATTATGCCCCCTTTTTTGACCATCTCCTCATTTGGATCTATATAGAAAATCCACACATAAAGATTCCTATATTCCATTTATATACTAAGTACTCCGTTTTCCTTTTTTCCTCACTGTTTAAATGGTTGCTAAAGAATCCATAGTCAAACATTTTACAATAAAATCAAATGTTAGTTTGTATAGGGTTTTTTTTTTCATTTCAGGAGTGACTTGAGAAACTGCAAGTCGCTTCTGGCATGAAAGAATTGGCTGTCTGCAAGGATGTTGCCCAGGGGACACCCAGATGTTTCCCATCCTATGGGAGGCTTCTCTCATGTCCCTGAATGAGAAGCTGGAGCTGACAGATGAGAGCTCACCGCACTCCTCAGTTTTAAACCACGGACCTTTCAGTCACCAGTCTTGCCAGCACAAGGGTTTAACCCATTGCGCCACCGGGGGCAATGAGAGGCAGTTTGGCTGCAGGAAGTGTGGGTGCTGAACTGGCCCACCTGGAAGCCACTGTGTTGCTGTCCTTGGGCAAGGGGCACTCCAGTTTTATGGTCTGGTTAAAGAAGTGGGTCTCAGAATCACTGTGCTTTTCAAAGTAATTTAGACATGCTCAGAGTCAAAGGAACATGCCTCCCAAAGATCAAGTCCTAAAAATGGGTGAGTCAGTACTAACACTGAACAAAAAGATGATTTCCTGCCAATATCAGAAGGGATAGCAACCTCCATTCATAGCCTGTATTTCAGGTTTCCAAAAGGTTCTAAAGTCACAGTGGATATATTTTGCAAATGGGCATTATTTGACTAGTTCCAGTTCTTATCCCCTTCCTAGCAGGAGCTAGGTTGTGGGGGTTTTTTCAGACGATGTACCAAATTTTGAAACTCTAAAAATACAGAAGTTACTAAACTACATTTCATTAAATGTTTCAAAAGGTCATACTTTTTAGAGGGGCCTTAAAATGAATGTAAATTTATTTATAGTGTAAAATTGGAATGGCCAAGAATTCAATTTATTTTGGAAGAGATTGCATTTTGTTATTTTCTCAGATAGATTTAGGTATCATTGCTTGAATTTATCTTTCATGTGCCAGGTAGTATGCATCAGTAAGTGAACAAAGACAATTTTTGACCTTTTTTAACCTTCTAGGTAAGAGCCAAGCTTTGCGCTCCTCATGAGTAATGTTTCTGCTTGGCAGCAGCTGCTGGCTTGTTTCTTCCCTGGGTGCAATGCGCCAGCTGAGCCCTGTTCTCCCCTGTCTCCTGGAACTGGTTGCTGTTGGCATGTGAGCTTGTATGATTATGAAACACCGCGTCCTGGAGGTGTGTGCGGCTCTAGATGTGTGTTGTTCAGCTCAGACGGATGCCCGGGGTGGTGGTGGCAGTGGCATTATGTAAGCCGTGCTTTGGCGCTGTCTGGCACTCAGAGTCTGCCTCCTCCGCAAGAGGTGGTGGAGCTCATTAGCACCAGTGACCCGGCCAAGCCAGCGCCATGGGGCCAGAGGCCACAGCTGTGCTCTTAGCAGGGGGAAATGCAGCCCCTCTCTTCAGCCAAAACAACGACCCAGATTTGATCATAACAAAACGGGGAGGGGGGGGGGGTAGAGCATTGGCTGCAGTGCCGCAAACATGTTGACTTCGAAGCCTGAGGCACGAGGTTCCAAAGTGTCACCATGGATTAGAACTGAAGCTATATGCTTTTTCATTAACTGTTAATATAGACAATAAAGGTATTCCCTGGAATGAGATTTATTGTTTTGTTTGTACACATGGGGGTAATGCATAACTTTCTCAACCTGTTTGTTATTAATAGCTTTAAAGCTGGAGCCCCATGTGGCGCAATGGGTTAAACCAGTGTTTCTCAACTTGGAGGTCGGGACCCCTGGAGAGGTTGCGAGGGGGTGTCAGAGGGGACACCAAAGACCATCAGAAAGCACAGTATTTTCTGTTGGTCATGGGGGTTCTGTGTGGGAAATGTGGCCCAATTCTATCATTGGTGGGGTTAAGAATGCTCTTTGATTGGAGATGAACTATAAATCCCAGCAACTTTGTTGTTCATTCGTTCAGTCGTCTCCAACTCTTCATGACCTCATGGACCGGCCCACGCCAGAGCTCCCTGTCAGCTGTCACCACCCCCAGCTCCTTCAAGGTCAAGCCAGTCACTTCAAGGATGCCATCCATCCATCTTGCCCTTGGTCGGCCTCTCTTCCTTTTACCTTCCACTTTCCCCAGCATAATTGTCTTTTCTAGGCTTTGCTGTCTCCTCATGATGTGGCCAAAGTACTTCAACTTTGTCTCTAGTATCCTTCCCTCCAATGATCCCAGCAACTACAACTCCTAAATGTCAAAGTCTATTTTCCCCAAATTCCACCAGTGTTGACATTTGGGCATATTGTGTATCCATGCCACGTTTGGTCCAGATCCATCATTGTTTGTGCCCACAGTACTCTCTGGATGTAAGTGAACTACAACTACAAAACTCAAGGTCAATGCCCATCAAACCCTTCTCGTATTTTCTGTTGGTCATGGGAGTTCTGCATGCCAAGTTTTGTGGATTTCAGAATGCTCTTTGATTGTAGGTGAACTATAAATCCGAGTTACTACAACTCCCAAATGACAAAATCACCCCCCCCC